TCGCATAATTACGTTATTATCTCCTGTAAGTTTATTTTCCTGTACCTGAAAAAATATTTTGCTAATAAGTAAACCTTATTAAATTTACTATGTCTGCAACAATAACATTGATATTCTAAACAATACGTTATCCCAGCAAACTCGCATTGTTGAACACAATGAATAGAATTATTCACATTAGTAATTCCAAATAAATTTCTGTTACCGCAAAGTTGAAATTAGCAAATTATGATTATATAATGAGCAAATAAAACATTGTTCGGTTATTTATCATGCATTATTTTATGACGGTGCTAAAATAAAATTAACACCCAAGTACCAACCAATGGAAAACTAGTAGCGGAAATGTCAACAATCTGTGTATATTTTTTTCTATTTATACTAGTGATCATTAATCCGATCGATTTATTTTCTTTAGATACGTTCCAGACTCCTTGCAGGTGTTTGAATACGATAACCACAAGCGGTGCAAAAATGATTTACAAGTTTCACCACTATAATGACATCGTAAATCATATTACGATTAAATATCAATATAAATTGGAACGGTTTCGACAAGAATCGGCTTTATTTTGCTTAATTATCATAATTTGAAAGCTCTTCATTTAAATATAACTCCAATAGTGAATCTAAAAGTGATTTTTTGAAGTGGCGAAACGAACTGCGTCAGTCGCAGCAGGAATCTTGAAAAATCACCTGTTGCTTACGTTAATTTTCGCTATTTGTGAAGTTTGCTTTCAACACTGTCACCCCTGATGTGGAGGCTGAAAACTTGAAAATTGGCCTTGAAAGCCCCAAATTTTAATTTAAAAAATTTGGTCAAAATCTGAAAATTTCAGTGTGTGTTTCAGTGGTCGATAATGATTAATCCACTAAATTTAAAAAAATTCCAATTTCAAATCAATTGAAAAAATAATCCATTAAAGATTTGTCACAAAAACCTACTTTTTACTTAAAAAGAATGTTGAGATTTGGCTCTTTGACCTGGATTTGAACAATTCTACACTTTTATTTTTATTTGGTTATTTATTCAAACTAACTAAAAAAAGTTCGTAAAGTTGTAAAAATTACATTCGATTTCAAATAGAGCGCGACGTGACGTCGAAAGAGCAATCGACCAATCACAACGCGCGCGTTTTAAATCACAGTTAAATAACATTTTTTTAAACAAATCCAATGTTTTATTTGTGAATCTAATTTTACTTTTACGTTTGCTTGACAACCAACACAATTTTGTGCATTTTTGAACACAGTATAAGCCAAACCGAATTAATTAATCCACTAAATGTCACAAAAAAAAAACAGATTCAAATCTATTGGAAATATGAAGTTTTAAAGACAAATACATCATAAAAACCTACTTTTTACTTAAAAATAAGAATCCAATGTGATCAATTTATGTAAAGTGATGATTCTTTACAGGTTTTAATTAGGCTACAGCTCTGTTGAAACAAGTTTCAGTAAAACAAACCACTTTTAATTTATACGTAAATCAGTTTACAATAATTCAAAATTTCAGTGTGTGTTTCAGTGGTCGCTAATAATTAAAAATTTCAAAAAAAATCCAGTTTCAAATCTAATAAAAAACTTTTAAAGACAAATAAGTCACAAATACCCACTTTTTACTAAAAAAGAAAGTTGAGACTTTATTGGATTTGGCTCTTTGACCTGGATTTAAACAATTCTACATTTATCGCATAATTTGTATCCATTATATTTAAGTCTAAAATATCTCTATTTGGTTATTTTTTCGAAATTTGCTTCAAACTATCTAAAAAAAGTTTGTAAAAGTTGCAAAATTACATTCGATTTCAAATAGAGCGCGACGTGACGTCGAAAGAGCGATCGACCAATCACAACGCCGAGCTTGCTACGTAAGCAAACGCGCGCGTTTTAAATCACAATTAGAATAAAAAAAATTTAAAACAAATCCAATGATTTATTTGTAAATCTAATTTTACTTTTACGTTTGCTTGACAACCAACACAATTTTGTGCATTTTTGAACATAGTATAAGCCCCACTTTTTTGCACCGTCAAAATTTGAAAATTTCAGTATGTGTATTTAGTGGTCGAGACTAATTAATCCACTAAATGTAACGAAAATAAATTCCAGTCTCAAATTTATTGAAAAAGTTACAAATAAATCGTAAAAACCTACTTTTTATTTAAAAAAATGGACCCAATGTGATCAATTTATGTAAAGTGATGTTTTTCACAGGTTTTAATTAGGCTACAGTTCTGTAAGTTTATACGTATATCAAAATTGATAACAAAAATATAAAAAATAGAATTGGAAATTTATATTCAAACTTCCTGGTAAGTACGCCAACTGTGAAACTTTCCACATAAAATCTAAGTTTGCTGCATTAAAGCTTAAAATTTGTCGCTTTTAACTATCCATTTATTAGACAAATGAAATAGGGCAAAAAAATTAGAAACCACAAATATTAATTTTTTAACTTAATTCTTTTTATTTCTCACTCTAGAGACGACGAAAAATTTATATTATCAATTTTTATGAAAAAATGCAACCAAAATGCAATTTGTTGGGTTTGTAAAGCAAAGAGCATAACTTTGGAAATTCTAAAGAGCATAAATTAAACGCAAATGATGATTACCTGAGTCTTTGATGAATACCTACATTACCATCCCTTACTAAGATTTACAAATCTGATTGTCGTTACATAACCGCACAAATTACCTAAATTTAAATGCAAATTAACATTGCGAATTCTCTACAAACACATGCCAGCATATAACTAATTCATATTAAACACATTTTTTGTGAAAACAGAATCTGGTGTCTCCTTTCTTAACTCACATTTAAAAGCTTATAAAAGCACTCTAAAAAATTATTTTGCCTAAAAACAACATTTCTTTCATGTTTGTATTCTCCCAAAGCATTTGAATACCAAACAAAAACATTTCTAAAAAATCACCCCTTTTGCTAAAAGAATGTTTAATTAGGGTTGACTTTTTGTCGCTGTCTCTTCATTAGGAAACAAGAGATGAATAATAACTTTACACCAGCTTTATAAATTTGTTTTTAATTTTCATGACAACATTGAAGCAGAGTATTAAAGAAAAAGCATTAATTTTTAATCGTGGTAATAATGGAAGCGATTTATCAAACAGGAATAAAAACAGTTAAATTTTGTGTTTATTTTGTGTCATAATTCAATCATTATTGTGTAAATGGACGTATCAAAACTTTAGCTGAAAGTTACCACTAAGTGATTGATTGAAGAAAAGGGTAAGAAAATTCAGAAAAGTAAAGAAAAAAATGAAATCAAAAAATGAAATATTCCTGTTAACATTTTCTCTCTAACGTTCTAATAAAGTTCTCTTAGAGTTAATTGAAACGTGAAATGAGAAAATCCAATAGAACTTCATATTTTATTTGATCGTTGTAAGTGTAATAAAAAAGCAATATAATCGAGAAAGACTAGAAACAGCAAAGGTGAGAAGAATTAAAAATAAAATATTGTGTAAAAATTTATTTATTGCTTTCTAATAAATTACAAATTAATTTTCAAAATTAAAGTGCCGATATTTTTAGCCTTAAAAAAGCAAAGAAAGTGTTTATTTTTCAAGAAGTGTAATAAATTTAAAAAATAATAAATATATTTCAGTTTTTAATACAATCACAAAAAGAAGTAAAACTTGGAAGTAAAACAAATTTTTTTTTTCTAGTTCAAGTAAATGAAAATCTTTTTTTCTCTTTTTCAAGTTGAATAGCTCGATTTACAAAAGCTAACTAATAAAAACTCTTTCATAAAATTATTAGCTACAAATCTTGCAAATAAATACTAGGTCATAAAATGTAGTTCCCCCAATAAATTCAGATTAAACATTTTCTCATTTACACAGAGGAAATTTAAAACACCTATACAGAGTGCGACAGAACTCGCGCACCAGAGAAAAATGCCATATAAGGTAACATACCAGGAACATGGAAAAAATGTTTAAAAAAATTATCTATAAAAATTTTGAAGTTATGAGGGTTTAAATTTTGCACTTTGACTCTATTTATTTCTGTTGGAAAAATAATTTTCCAAGTTTTTTTGCTATAGGCTATTAAAAGAGGAAACAAGGAAGCTGTATCCTAAATTATAACTCTGTTCAATATTAATTGTGGCTTTTATTGGCAAACTTTTTGTCCCTTTACTAAATAATTGTAAAAAAACATATACAAGATCATCAGTATCCTTAAATAGCTATAAAAAAATGATAAATTTTAAAAAAAAATTGTCATAATTTTTTGACAGATAGAATTCTTGAAACATTTTTTTATGTTCCTGGTACTTTACCTTACTTGAAAATTTTCTCTGGGGTGCAAGTTCTGGCGCACCCTGTATACCCCTGTGATATATTTTTTTTTATTATAGGGTTCTAAACAATATACGAGTTTTATGAATTGGTCTGTTAGTATTTTTTTTTAATCTTGATATTTAGTATTTCTGTGAGTGAAAATTTTCGTGTTATTTCATGTTTTTTTTTTTTTTTAATTTTTGTTCAGAAATCGAGAAAATTGGACTCTTCATTTAGAAATCCAAAAAATTAATTAATTAAATGTTAAACTAATTTGTTCATGCTTTTAACCCGACACAACCCTAATATTTCCAAATCCCACAAAAAGTAAAACTCGTATTAAACAATTTTTTTTTAATTAGTATTAATCACCGCATCGTGTGACCCCATTGCTCCACGAGAGACACATAAAAAAAGCACAAACCAAACGAAATAACTCATTTAGGGGCGAAATAAATAACAAGTAACACAATATTAGTTTCAAGTACGCGTAGCTCGAAACTTATCAAATATTGATTGAAAAGTGTGTTAATTTCGCTAATGAATTCATCGGAATCGTCCATCACATTAAGAGTGTAACAGTTTACATAATGGCCCCACTTGCACACAATACACGTCCGGACAATAAAGTTATTAATAGTCATCATCAGCGACAAAGAAGTTGAAAAGTGAACTTTCTCGACTGACCTTAGACTAATCCAGCCGCTGGTGCGCACTTCTGATGGTCCATTGCGAAAAGAGTTTTTACGACGGCGACGGCGACGTCACGACGGCTTCGAAAGTCGCGTTTACAACAAAGTTCGCGCGTCGACTGGCGTTGAGACGCGACGCGCCGGCCTTCCTGCTACAGGTGGTGAGGAGACGGACTCTGCGCCTACGCAGCGGCGATGATAACGCAAGAGATAAACGCAAAGAGAGTTTATTGGATTTGGTGGCTCTTTGTACAGTATTTTATTGCGTAAAATATTAAAAACTCAAGAAATTTGAAACTTGTGTAGAAATTGTACCAACGGTGGGAAGCCTCCGGCTTGAAATGCGCCTGTGCTAGATTTGAATTATTCTATATTCAAGTTTTTATTGCATAATTTGTATCTATACTCTTTTTCATATTAATGTGCATCAATTAGGGTGTAGAAGTCTAAATGCATCTTTAATTTAAAGGCCGATTCACACAGAAAGTGTCATTAATCTCATTAAGAACAAAAATTATCACATCAATAATAACAAAAATCGTTCCTATGTTAATTACGTTGTTAATTTTAATTATTTTTTGCTACCTCAAAAACTGGGGTATACATATTTATTTGAGAAAATAATTTTTAGGGAAGATTGAGGTTGGGATTGTTTGAATTTTCGCATTGTCGCCATTAATATGAAAACGATTATATAGGGTTATTCATAAATATGAAGCAATTTGCACCTCAAAAATGACCTATTAAATGATGGTAATTTAAATAATAACTCGTGTCCGATCTGTATTGATAAGAATTTTGCAGCCCTCGGAATGTGGGTAGGAAAATTTGTTTTTTTTGTAATAACTTTGGAACCATTTGACAAAATATTATAAAATTTGGGATAAAGACATCTACTCAATTTCCGGTTTCAGCAGTTGCAGGTCACATTTCCTGTGTTTTTCCGGTTTTTTTTTGGCCTCTTAACACGTCTATTTGTCTATTCGAAATTGTTAGATACTAATCTAGTGCATCACCTAAAATTATTTTCAACCACCACATGTCCCAAAAATAAATTACAATACAATATTATTTTCAGCCTTTTAAGACAATATTTTTAGGCTAAACTTTTGTTAGTCGATTTCGCTTTAATTTTTAGAAAAAAAACTTTTTTTTTGACGAAAACATGCACTTTTTAAAAATTTATTACACAAAAACTAAGACAGCTAGAACAATTTTTTTCTTACTTCTGCAAAGAAGAAAGTATAGAAATTAGAGTTTTGCATTTGTAAAGATTAATAAATTAAGAAGTTTGTTAAAAGTTAAATAACTTAAAAAATTTAAATGGAACACCCTATTTTTTTATTTTTGCATCTAATAGATTCATAAATAAATGAAAACTCTAAAAAAATAAAATTTTAATGTCTATAGTTGATAAATGAAAAGATATTTAACATTCAATATTAATTGTAGCAACAATGGCTATCAATATCTGGGCATTCTTGATAATATGGCAACCATAATAATTTCACCACGGATTACTTTTCCGTTGATTTATCCGGAGATTGTAAAAGACGAGAAGAAATTTGAATTATTTTGTTGTAAAAATAAAAAATAATTAATCCAGTTTAACATAAATGTGATTATTAAGTAATATTTCTTCCATCTCTTGTGCAACTGTGGACTTTTTAACTCCTGAAACAATAGTATTTTTTTTAATGTTTAACGTTAAATATCTTTTTATTTATTGATTATAAACACCTAAAAGTAAATGATTTTGAAAAGACAATTTAATAATCTTCTAAATGCAAAAACAATAAATAGGGTGTTCCATTTACATTTTTTATGTTATTGAACTTTTAACAAGCGTCTTAATTTTTTTTATCTTTGCAAATGCAACAAAAAAAAATGTTACAGCTTAATAGCTTGTAACTTCTTCTTTGCGATAATAAAAAATATATATTTCTAAATGAATGTATTATTTAAAAAAAAACACAAGTTTGTATTGTAACTTATTTTTGGGACACGCTGTATAGTTGAAAATAAGTTTAGACGATGGACTAGATTAGTATCTATCAATGTCCTATATAGTTTTTCTTTAATTTTACCATTTAAAGATCACTAATAGACTTTACCAACTCGCTGGAACACCCTGTATTAAAGTCTAAAGTACCTGTATTTGTCAATTTTATTTAAAATTCGCTTGTAACTAGCTGAAAAAAGTTCGTAAAAGCGTCGAAAATTTGATTCGATTTCAAATAAAGCGCGACTAACAGTGACGTCGAAAAAGCGATCGACCAATCACAACGCCGAGCTTGCTACGTAAGCAAACGCGCGCGTTTTAAATCCCAATTTAATTTTTTTTTACAAAAATGTAATGATTTATTTGTAAAACTAATTTCACTTTTACGTTTGCTTGACAACCAACACAATTTTGTGCATTTTTGAATACGTAACTTTTTTTTTAAGTATGTCACAATTCTCATAAAGCAGAAAAAATAATACAGAATGATAAAAAACTTCGCGTAGAAACAAATGTTTATAAAATAAAAAAAAATTATCCTACACAATTTTAATCAAACCATTTTCGTTTTAGTACGATTTCTTAATTTATGTCACAACTTTCTATTTATTTTTTTTTGCATAATTGGTATAATTAAATGCAAATAAAAGAAATGACCAAACTTTTACGACACAAATTTGGTAGAAAACTTTTATTCGGGGAAGAGTTAAAATAAAAAGTACTATTTATTTTAAGTAAAAGAGACTTAAAAAACAGTCCTGTGTTACCAACAGTCGGAAAAAATCTATGAGTGGGTTTTATGTTCTTGTTTATTACAAGGTGAAGGTGAAAATCTATACAATGACATGAACGGCGCCAGTAATTTTAGATGAAAACACAATAAACGCGCATTTTCTACATTTAATAAAAACAGATATCTTGTTCAGTTTAATGAAAAAAATTGGATATCGATTGTTTGCTGAATTTTTCATAATTTCCACCTGACATCGAAGGTGATTTAAGTTACATGATTGTGTACTAGATAAATAACAGAAAAATCTAATTCTGTTGTTAATTAACTGAACGTTTCACTTTAATTTTCTCTAGCAGCACAATTACATGCTTTCACCATTATTTTAGTCAAGTTTTTACCATATAACTGTCTAAACAAATACCACAAACCGACTTTATATCATATTTTTTAATATTTTCTACAGACTTTGAACGTATCCCATGTTTACAAATTCCACACCAAATTTATGAATGTAAAGAAATTGTATTAAATTTGTAATAAGTAACAAAAAAAAAACATAAAAACAACAATAACTCGCTAATTTAATGTTTTTCTCCAATTGTTGTATCTTCTTCATCTTCATCAGAAGTTTTTACTTCTTGATCTCCTCCAGTTTCAGCCCTATTGTTAATCTTATTCCTAGCAGATATGACTTCCTGCAAATGACTCATAAGATCTTCGATGTACTTAGATTTGTACGAGCATCGTAAACAACAATACCATTTAGTTTTAGCCCTAATCTTATTTTTTATTGTTAAAATCCCGAAGAAATGACTAAAAAAATGTCTTTGTATCGCATTTAAATTTCGAAGTTTATCATTACAAATCGTACATTGAAAAAAACCGGTTTGTGTCTTAGCACATGATTTTCGATAATGGTCGAGGTCTTGGGCAGTAATACTTTTATCATATTTTTCATCTTCTGATAGATGTTTTAATAACTGAGAACGTGTCATATAATTTGTTGTAAATTCACCATGTTCGCTGCGCATATGGTATACCAAAGTAACAATTGTTCGACATTTGTAGGGACAATGTTCACATTTATGCCACTGTATTTGCACACATGAAACATTTTGCGTCGAAGATCTTACATAAAAGTGATTTTCCATTTGATTAGTGCTTGTACCTTGGAAATTGCATCTCTTGCATTTGAACAATTTTTCACCAATTGTAAAATATTCATTAGGAATCAACACCACATCATTTCCAAGGGTTAAATCAACTGTGGATTTCGACTTAATGTTTTCGTTTTCTACCTGATTGACTTTTGGAAGAAATCTCCTTCGGGCAATCTGGATATCACGCAAGTGGTCTCGTAAAATGAAAACATCCTTCGTTTTCCATTTACAACGTACACATGTATACCATTTATCTGCACAACTATACTCAATTTGTCCATAAAAATGAGCTTCTATGTAATGATTTCGAAGATCGACTAGAGTCCTACTTTCAAAAAAACATTTGACACATTTAAAAAAGTCGGAATCTCCCTTCCTACATGATTTTATAAAATCAGAAACATTTTCAGCTGTAACCTCCATCTCAATTTGATCCTTTTCTAAATGTCTGGATAACAAATCTGGTACCACATGAGTATCATGCATATGTTTTAACAAATGAGAAACGTCGGGACATTTATATGAACAGTGCAGACACTTGAAAGAATCACTTTGCTTATTTTCTTCGTTCTTCGAAGCATCCAACAATTCTTCAGGTGTTTTTTCAGAAATAACGCTGAAATTGTCTACTCTTCTTTTTTCACTGTCAAAATTTGGAGGTGAAACTTGACGAATTATGATTGGGCGCTTGTGATTGCTGTCCGGTTGCATTTCTTCGTAATTTTTCTTCTGCGGTTTCAGTTTTATATTACAAGTGTAAGAAGAAGTCTTCCGAGGTCTTCCACGCTTCCTTATGGGTTTATCACAATTTGGGGCTACGACACATTCCTTATTGTTATCTGCTTCTGAAATTTCTTCATACGATTCTTTACGCGATATCTTGGTTATATCATTATCTTCGTTCTTCGAAGCATCCAACCATTCTTCAGGATTTGGTGTTTTTTCAGAAATAACGCTGAAATTGTCTACTCTTCTTTTTTCACTCTCAAAATTTGGAGGTGAAACTTGACGAATTATGACTGGATTTTTTAAATTTGCTGTATTTGCATTGTATGTTTTTGCCAAAATGTTTGAAACGATGTTTGGTGGTGCAGGTTTAGGCAATATATTCTTTAGATTTGTTGCACTATTATGCAAAGCCACAAAAATATTTGAAGGAACGACAGTACTAATGTTCAAATTATTTCTGTTGGCCCTTGTTGGAGAAGTAGATGGATTTAGAAGAAAATACTCAGTCTGAATTGTTGTTCTACACAAAACTAAACTGTTTGTACTTGTGGTAATGTCATTACTTTTGATCTTCACCGTGGTGTTTTCACTGTTAACTGTCTCACTATTCCAAAAGTTGCTTCCGTCACTAATAATATCCACTGGTAAATTTTCAATGTCAAATGTTTCCTTGTTACAATTGGTACTAGTTATATTTGCTACATCTTCACAGTTATTTTTTTCTCTTGCATCACTGTTAACTACTTTACACGTCTCTCTTTCATCAGTGTTCATCACTGGTGTTTTTTCATCGCTGATTTGATTATTGTCAATTACTTTTCTTCCACATATTACATCCCTTGGACTCCAGATTAATTGATTACTGATCACATTAATTTTTCCACACATTTCTTCGTTATTGTTCTTTCTGTTAGCTGTCTCATTGTTGCTTCCATCACCAATAATTTCGACTGGTAGATTTTCATTGTCATAATCGGAACTTAAATCATTACTAGTGATATCTTCTACATCATCAAGTCTCTCTATTCTTACATCTCTTAATTCACTATTTTTTTTATGACTACTGTCCGGTTGTATTGCTTCCATACCAGTGATTATATCACCAGTTTGTCCTTTCTTCATGTTTTCATGGATCTTCACCGTTGAGCTTTCACTGTTAAATACTTTGCAAGTCTCTCTCATGTCACTAAGATCTTTATCAGTTTTTATCACTAGTGTTTTTCCATCGTCGACTTGATAACTACCAATTATTCTTCCTCCATCATATATTACATCTTCTTCATTACTTTTCTTCTGCGGTTTACGTTTCAGTTTTATATTACAAGAAGAAGTCTTCCGAGGTCTTCCACGCTTATTTTTCGGTTTATCACAATTTGGGGCTATACCACATTTCTTGTTGTTATCTGCTTCAGAAATTTCTTCATACGATTCCTTACGCAATATCTTGGTTATATCACTATTTTGTCCTTTTTTCGTGTTTTCATGCATCTTCCCTAGGTCCTCACTAGTGATATCTGCTACTTTTTCACTGATAATTCTTTCTTTTTCGTCACTGTTAACTAATTTGTAAGTTTCTTCTATGTCACTAACATTTTTATCAGTGTTTATCATTAGTGTTTTTCCATCGTCGACTTGATAACTACCAATTATTCTTCCTCCATCATATATTACATCTTCTTCATTACTTTTCTTCTGCGGTTTACGTTTCAGTTTTATATTACAAGAAGAAGTCTTCCGAGATCTTCCACGCTTACTTTTCGGTTTATCACATTTTGGGGTTATACCACATTTCTTGTTGTTATCTACTTCTGAAATTTCTTCATACGATTCTTCACGCAATGTCTTCCATGTCTTTGTATTGAGAGATTGCACTGTACTGTCACTATTTTGTCCTTTTTTCATGTTTTCATGGATCTTCATTAGATCCTCACTAGTGATATCTGCTACTTTTTCACTGTTAATTCTTTCTTTTGCATCACTGTTAACTAATTTGCAAGTCTCTACTATGTCACTAACATTTTTATCAATGTTTATCATTAGTGTTTTTCCATATTTGCAAACTATTCTTTCATCTTTTAATTTATTAATTTTTTTATGACTGCTGTCCGGTTTCAATTTTTCGTTATTTTTCTTCCGTATTATTCTAGGTTTACGTTTCAGTTTGTCACAATTTGGAGCTATATCACACTTCTTATCTAGTGCAGAGTAGATAGTCTTCAATGTTTTTGTGGTATCCTTAACGTTATTATGACTAGTTCTTTCCGTGTTTGTAACAAGTTTTTTTGTTTTATTTTTCTTGCTACGTTTCGTGTCCACTTTCTTCACTGATTTTTTATTTTTATAAACATCTTTGGGACTGTCAAAACACACTTCTTTAAGACAATGCTGTTGCAGGTCTCTAAACTTTCGAACCGTGTAACCGCATTTACTACACATAAACTTTGTTTTATGTTTTAAAAAATCAGATTTCGTGACATTTTTTCCCTTTATACCTATTTCTTGAATTGTAGTTTCAATTGTGTTTTCATCAATTTCTTGCTTAATGCTGAAAGCTTCTTCATTCATTGACAAATCTTCACTGATCTTCACTACTGCATCATCAATGACTTTTGGATGTTTGGAAGATGTGTTTTCAAAAGTTGTGTTCCTTTTACGTTTATAATGAATAGCAGTTTCATCTTCATTTTCCTTGACAGTCCAAACCTTGCCAATTTTACAAATCTCTTGAGTAATGGTGTCCAATTTTGTTTTTTTTCTACTGACTATATGATCCTTGGGTGTAATTATCTCATTGTCTGCAGTTACATGTCCAAATCTTCTTTCTTCAATTATCCCTTTTTGTCGGTTCACTTCTCTCTCAACTTGAGCAATACAAAATGGTTCTAAGTTTTTTTTTCTTTTCCAACGTTGTGAAATCCTCTTTTTTCTGCGAATTTTAGGTCTCCTATTGTGATATCCATTATAAGAACAAGGCGGCCATCTAAAAACAGTGACTTTTTCTTCAGGACTTGTCGCTGTAATGCTTCCCGAACGAGTTTTAAATGAGCTTTCATTTTTTTCTACTTTTGGCTCAGCTACAATGTTTTCAGGTTTGAAGTGAGTGCGATACTCATGTCTCAGGAACAGAAATTCCGAATTTGATTTGAAATCGCAAAACTCACACTTGTATGTGATTAAAAACTCAGGAATTGGATCAGTTTTTTCTCCATTTTGATAACACAACTCCACATGTTGCTTTAAGAGGATTTGCAAGTCGGTCTCAAAGTCGCATTTGTCGCAGTTGTATGTCTGTAGTGTCGCTGTTGTGCAATTAAATGGTTGTTTGAAATAATTATGATCATCAGTATTCATTATTTTGATTGCGTTGTTGGTAATACCCTAAAAAAATCATTTACCTTTTTTTCAAGTATTTTTAAACATATACCTTAAGAATTGATAATAAGAAATTTAGTTTAACGCATAAGTTAGATACTTCTGAAGAAATTTGTTTTTGGGGTTATGGGTCGCGTTTTTAATTTGAGGTTAATTTTTCAGAGAAAATGTAGAATTCCAGTTTCAACGAATTTATTATTTACATTGTGTAAAAATAAAATCATATTATTATTAAATTTCGTTTTTCTAATAACGAATGCAAATGACGTTTTTTAATAAGATGGTACAAGATTTTTTTCTAATTCTGTCTAATAAATCGAAAAACACATCGGTAGAAAGAGATGCTTTCTACTATTTCCGTATGTCTCTTTTTACCGATATAATAGTTTTTGATTTTTTTTTAAATAATTCGAATAATTAGCTTTTGCTATGATAAAAATAACCCTGTCGTCTAGTGAAAAACAAAATAAAAATACTGTTTAAAGTATGGAATATCAGGATAAGAAATGATTTTTCTTACTTTTATCCCTTCTAAATGAATATTTAGAACACCAAGTATGAAATTATTGAACATTTTTTTAAAATTCCGATACAATAGGTGAAGTGCAGGGTTGTGGAATAGGAATCACATAGTAATTGAAACAAGGACATCAAGAACAGCATTTATTTCCCATTTTACAACTGCTCGTTAAATCAATATATACAAAAAAGATCATATAAACAAAAAAGCTGCAAACCAATTACTTCGAGAAATATCGTAAAGGTGAAGGTTCTTTAAGTATTTTACAGCAATTACTTACATGACTAGTACCCAAAAATACCGACGAATTTACCGAAATAAATAAAACTTTACAATGCACTCGACATAATATAAATATGTAAAAAAAAATCCCTACGAAAGTACCTGAGAAATAAACCGTTCCATTTATGTATTTTTCGAATTTTTTTGTAATTTTTCTCAATTTATTAAGTTCTTTTCCCTTGTTTGCAACTGGGAAAAGACAAGTTGCAATCATTTTTTTTTTGGTACAACGTCCGTCGACATGTTGCTGGTTGTAAAGACAAACGTTGCATTTTTATAAGTTTTTTTGTTATTTGTTATGAGGGAAAAATATTTTGCAGCAAGACATAAGGTCTTAAGACATTTCAAAAACGTATTGAATAAATCAATTAAACAATAATTACAGTTTGTCGCCGCTTTCAATCGGGTTATTTTCATGTAAACACTTCACAAATTATTGATTTTTTACAAGTAGGTTTTTTTATATAAACATCAATTGAGAAATATATAAAAAGTATCAAAAATGTAGATGACCAACCGTCTTGAAAGCTTGGGCGCCAAACCCGGAAAGACGCAGTTCTGAAGGAATTAAATCTTGATGTACACACAAATTAAACCGTAATGAAATGCCTTTTGTCTGCTTAAAAACTCACGCGCTAATAAGTTGTTAACATAGTATGGTTATAGTAAAAATGGTGGACTTGAGCGCGACAACGCTAAGCCGTGCTTTCGGTGGTGGTATTCTGCACTGGCTGACTCTCCTGAAAACAAAACAATTAATTAGCAAAACGAACACACGCCACAAATTACTCTGACTTGGATTTTAATAAAAAAAAAAGAAACATTTGATTTGAAACGTTTAAAATAAAACTTTACATTACAATATGTGAATAATTTGCAAAAAAGCACCTCTAAAACACTACAAGAGTTTTCAAAATGACATAAAAGCAGCAAACACTAAACATGTACTACTTACTTCAGTCTTTACCGGTCCAGTTTCTTCTGAACTCTGGAAAGAGATAGAAAGAATATAGGGGAAAGTGCATACAACTAAATGCAAAATCATAAGAAGTAAAAACTACATGCATGCATTTAAATTTAAAACTACTTGACATAAATTGTGTAAAAATACCTTGTTTCCGGACTCGGACTGGGAGTTTCCGCCACGCGGACGTGGAGGTCCACGTCTACGATAGCGAGAACGTTGTTGTCCACGAGGTCCATCCTGACCAACCTGTTCTCCAGCCTGGCCCTGGCTGTCTTGAGACTGTGGTCGTCTTCCGCCCCCTCTTCCGCCACGAAAGTTTCTACGGAAGAATCTTCTCGGGGGCCCGCGCCCTCTCGGCGCATCACCGTTCTGATCTTGATCGCCTAATGGTGGCGGTGGTCCACGATAAGATCCTCTATAATAACCGCCGACGTAGCCGCCGCGCCCGCGCCTCGGCCTATAACGGCGCGGTGGTCCATTACCGTTACCGCCTCCTTCACCACCAGACGCAGTGCCATCTTTTCCGCCTTCACCTTCACTTTGACTATCTCGTGGTGGTCCACGTCGAGGTCGGGGACCACCGCGACCACGGGTGTAGTACCATTGACGGTAGCCTCGACGACGATCGGCCGCATATGGAGAACCACGGACGGGTTCACCATTGGGACCGGTCACATTGGCGGCTTCATTACCCTTTTCGCCGACGACGACGCTGAATTCGACGATTTCACCATCGCCAACCGAACGGACGGCTTTCTTCGGGTTGTTCTTGATGATGGCCGACTAAAACAACAATTTATTAATTTAAAAAAAAAATCATAGCTAAAATTAAAATTTATCAAATCAATTTAATTGATCAAAGATAGTCGATTGCAAGGACAGCAATCATTTGTTTCTTAATTCAGACCGGAATTAAAAAAAAACATTTCATAACATCACAAAATCTATTATTCAATTTTGAAATAACATTTTACATACAGGAACCAAGCAGTTTTATTTTTAATCATTTGCCTTCAGAAAATAATAATTAATATAAATTAAAGTAATATAAAAAATGTGATCGTATTTTCAGAACGAAATTTTGTTTTGTTTTTGAGTTATGCGATTAAAAAATAAAATAAATATAAAGTAGATAGTTGTAATCCTTAGAGTATAGCTTTTATGAGAAAAATGATTTTATAATGGGTTGCCATTTAAAAAAATATTTTTTTTGTAGAACTCAAAAACAAAAGGAAATTTCGAAAAATTTTATTCTTGTTAAATCATCACATTTTGATAGTACTTTATCACTCATCAATTAGTTTTTTCAAAAAATAAATAGTTTAAGCAAAAAACGTTTGGTTCCATACTTTTTATTCACCTGGTATGTATAAAAATGAATAATGAACAAGCATAATTAATTTTAAAACGAATGACGACACTAAAACTAATAAACGGTTAAAAATAAAAATATAGCAAGACAATAAACTTTCTTAAAAAAAAACAGGAAGTATTGTTTGAAGTTTAAATTTTTAACGATAAAAATAAAATAAATTGTTTCAAATTTTTAAATAAGATTAAAAAACAATTTATAAATGTGACAAGAATAAACAATAGCAAATTTTACGTTTTGAATGACATGTTTTTACTTTTTATATAATCAAACTATTCCTTAATGAAATATTTCATATTCAGAAGCACATATTTTGGTATTCAAACAATTAAAAAAATATGAAACCCATAAAAAAACTATGAACAAATTTCTCAAAATTTAAAAAAAGCAAAAGTTTGTTAATCGTAATAATAATCTCAATAATATAATAATCTCATTATCAAAATCGTTTGTTAAATAATTAATAACAGGAAATCCACCAAAAGACCACCTATGATTGTTACTGGAAATAGAAAATTGGAAAGGTTTCAAAAAATGTTTCAATAATTAACGTCCTACACAAATTTTAACAAAATTAATGATGAAACTTCCTCCAAATATTATTGCAAAATATAACTAATTGCATTCTTGGCGTCGCAGATTTTTTAAATCGATTACCAGAACACTATTTTCTAATCTACTGCAATTTATCGTGCGAGTAATAAATTTTACTACATCAATAAAAAAAAGTAATCGGAGACAAAAAAAAAATGTCAAACTTTAATCAAAAAGTCTTTGTCAAAACCAACTTGTTTTTGTTTATAAATGTCATAAATCCGAGATAAACATTTGTTATCACATCACCAAGAGATATAAATTAAAAATAAATTGTTCCCCAAAATCCAATCCAATGCAACAATCAGTTGTTTTGCACCATTTTTATTGAAATTTGGAGGTACAATTCTCTAGCACACCAATGACTCAAGCATCTCTTTAGAATACCAGAGATGGATCTATGGAGCGTGCAAAAAAAAATCAATTTTAATCAATCCAGTACAAGTTTTGAAAAAAAATATCAAGAAACCTTGACAAATGCTTGCATACAAAATTGAATTGATAAGAAAAAATCGCAACAAAGCAATAATTTAACTGCACATTAATTTGCGATAAGATTTGAAAAACAAAATTTTCACTTACTTGGTGTACAAAAACATCCTCCTTGGTGTCGTTTCGGTTGATGAAGCCGTAACCGCTCTTCACATTGAACCATTTTACAGTCCCCGTTACTTTACTAGCTGAAAGAAAATCAAAATTAATCACAAATTAAAACAATTAAACAAAAATAATTGCAACGTTTTAAAAAATCAATTGTAATTGAGCAATTTTCCTAATGAAATAATGATCAATTCATCATTTTTAAGGGGATTCCACCCGTATTCTTCTTATGGGAATTACAATGTAAACTCGATCTAAAATATCTCGGAAACTAACTGAAATTTTTGCTTTTTTTAATAAAAGATATGTGTTATGTGTTACAGGGGCTCAATTTTTGCTTTTTCCAAAAAAGGTAGTTATTAAATTTTTATCGAATTAAATGTATTTTTTTTTGCTCTTTAACTTTTAAAAATTCAGCCCCGAACAAATAATGTAAATAAGTAATACGCAAAATATATCTTGAAAAATTTTAAAATCTAAAAATTGTCAAAATTAACAAAATGTCAAAATAAATGTTTATGAAGTTATAAAATACGATTTGATTGACGACGTGTTTTATGAAACACACTTCTCTTGGCATTTTGTCAATTTTAATATTATTGTGACAAATTGCTTTATAATAATTTCTGAATTTAGTAAAATTTCTAATTTTTTAGCGAGACTATCGAAAAATTTCAAAATTTTCATCGTGTAATTGTGGTCCAATATCACAATTTTACACAGGAGCATATTTCTGATGTCATTAACGCGATAAAAAAGCATTTTTTGGAACAAAAAGTGAAAAACACTTCGTTTGTATTTAAGAAAATTTTTGATAATTACTCGTACTTTGGCGTCATACTGCAAATCAAAGAAATCCGGAAAGAGCGAAAAGCAGTTACGATTTTAGGCATAAAATGACATTAGAAAAAAATCGAGTTTCTTCTGGTTTGAGAGCACAATCTAGGGATTTTTTACTCTTTCATCCCAACCTTGAACCGGCCAATGCTAGGTTTTTTACCTCCGGTGCGAGAAAATCGTGAGAATGGTCTAAAAATAATCGTGACGCCGCCAAAAAAGCCGTCGAGTCGTATCCACGTGACGCCTCCATTTATAAATAAAGCCCCAATTTTGCAAAAAGCTCAGCGCGTCCCTCACAATGGCGGCCTGCAATCCCGACGCTGAAAAGACAGCTCCTCGAACAAACGACAGCCGCGACGGAAACTCACGTCAAACATCGAAAAACCCCAATTTGGGGGCCAACAACCGCCCCTCGTGGGCCAACTCCGCGGAAAACCCGCCATGTGCTCGACGCAAAGAAGATGGACGCCGGCCCACACGAAAACGCAAATTTACTCACCGATTACTTCCTTCTGTTTGTTGACTTTCGGCGGTTCCGCTGTTGGTTGTTGTTGCTGCTGTTCAGCTTCAGCCATGATGGTAAAAGGGCCGGTTGGCTGATGTTAAACTCCTCTTTCCACGATGTTCTTCCTTCCTCCTTCCTGCCTTTCACAGTTGTTGAAGATCTTGTCGATGCTCAATTTTCTCAACATTAAATAAACTCGGTGAAGCAATCACACACACGCACATTATCAACCCTCTCCTTCTAACACATGCAATTCATCCGGCACATACGCGCTAATTACGCCAAATTCCACCCATCAACGCGCATGCGCACATTATTGTCATCTCATTGGCGGAAACACCACAGGACCGTCTCCAAGCAATTTGAAAAAAACAATTAGAAAAAAATCAAACTTTATTTAATCGTTTTAACAGCGTTTTCTAAAAACTTGGACATTATTGGATAGACTGGATCGTAATTAACCGAATTTTTCTGCCTCACTGAATTCTCGTATTTTTGCAGGGCCCCCACGATCAAATCCAACCGATCCGATTCGGAAGGATGCTCATCCAACCATACCGACAATTTCGGAAGAGACCACGCCGTGTTTTGATGCGGACTTGCTAATTCGCTTCCAGCGAATGAAAACAACAAAAGCAAAACAGTACTGTGGGGCACTGAGCTTTCCGAAGCTTGACTTGCGACGATTTCTTCAGGAGTGAGAGTGACAAGAGACGCCATGGATTTTAGTAAACGGTAAGGACGCCCCAAATCGCTCAAATGGGGGCAAATCACCCTTAGGGCGCTTTCAAGGTGAAGATAGTCAGACTGGAGCCGGATCCGGCCCCCTTGTGATATGGGCCGGAGTAAGGAGGTGTGCCGCACTAGAAGCTCAATACAACGAACAGCAATCTCACTACACCTACAATAAACAATTGATAAGAATTTTTCAACACCTTGAACTTACTTTTCAAGCAAAACTTCTTTATTGTTAAAATTTGATAAATAAGTGTGATAAACACGTGTGATAAATTGGGATAACTCGCGCATGTAGGGGCTACAAACCACCGTGTTTTTGTTTATAGGGACTTGGAGTTTAGCCCAATCTGTTTCAAGGTGAATTGTGACAATTATCGTCTCAATGGTTGAGTTTATCGAGACTAAAAATGTAATAAAATCACGTTGAAATTAAAAATTGACAAAAGTACCAACAATGGGCTGAATTATAGCCCCAACTAGATTAACAAGAACTTGTAAACTTTCGGTAATAATTGCAACACCAGATTGTGGCAAACTGTCTTTCATGTTTGATAACATTCTCTGAATTTGAACTTGAAAATAATACAACGCATTGGCAAAATGGACGTTTCTTTGCTGTCCCGAGTTAGCATTGCCACCTACAAGTTTAACATTAAGAAAAATAGAAAAAAATTTATGAAAAACTCACCAATGACTTGAGCCGCTTCTGGTCCAGTTTCAATTTGTTGTTCTGTTTTTAAACCAAACATTTTAATAGACTTTGAAACGTTTCGACAAATTTTCTCACTTAATGTTTCCTCAATCAAAGCAACACTCAATTCACTAAAAGAAATTTTTTAAAAATTACACTTCCTGATATGTTCAATTACCCGCTAATGACTCTAATTAAAGCATCAATCTGGTCATGAGTCGGGACTTCCCCTTCATTATTAAACATAGACTGGGCTGGTTCTAGTAATCTGTTTAAAGAGCTTGACAAATACGAATTTTCACACTTTTCAAGCACTTGTCGACTGAAAAATAAAGTAGAATTAAAACAAAAATGTAAAAAAAATATTTGACTGACTCAAAAACAAACTGGTCATATTTCAATTTCTCGCACATTTCATAGAAACATTTCAACAATTTTGGATAATCCTCTTCCAACATTTGCTGAACTGCTAATGAACTATTTTTAATTTCACTCTTGATCAAATTGCCTAATTTCGTCCAAAATTTCGCAGCTATATCACAATCAATATTCTGGTTGTTTACAGTTCTTTGCAAAAATTTTATCTGGAAAATTTGAATAAAATTTGAATCATTTCTAGTTGTGTCTACCTGTTTGCAATTTTGATGGATTTCCTCAGTGAAGGCTTTTTCTATTTCGGTCCAAATTTTATTTCTGAAATTTTGTGAAGTAGTCAGAGTGGCACGTCCAGGGCCTTTGGTTGTTTTAAGTCCACTTGAGACAGTGCTCGCATCAAAAGCAGTTTTCAAACATTCGCGACACTCATTGAAATTATTTTCAATCGTATTGTGTAAAATCGCATTAATAGTACCCAAATTAATGAAAATCTGGAAAATAAATTAAGCAAAATAACTAACAATCAAAATTATTAGCACTTGTAAGGCAGTGGTGGTTTGGGCTACATTTTCATTGATAATTCCTTGATTTAAAGACCCTGTAGCCAACTTGACAACTTTCTGCTGTTGGGCCCTTATGTTTCTCAATTCAGACGTTACAGCATCGATGTCTTTTAAATCAGGGTCTGAGGCGAGTTGCTCTAAATCAAAAAATGAGCAAAATACAATTAAGTGTATTAAAAAGTACCTAACTCGTGCAAAATTGTCGCTTTCTGGACAGGATCATTAGTATTAACCAGTCGTTTACTCAACTGTTGTATTCTATTAACCTGTCTCAAAATATGACTAGCCAAATGCAAACGCCCCAACACTTTGGTGTGGGTTTCTAGAGCGTTATAAGGACCCGTAACCTTAAATTCAAGCAAATTTAATGAAAACTAAACATTTGATCGTATTACTTGATTTCTCAAACGTTCAGCATTCGCAAATAAATTCTGGACGTGGCCATTCATAGTATTTAGAACGCTTTCCAATTTGGTCGCATGATTGCCCTGTCTTAATAAATCATCGTGTTTTTCCAAAACCTGCTTTTGTAATTCGCGACTGATCAATTCGATGCCTTCGCCAAGCTTCTTGACTTGCTCAGAAATACTCAAAGCTTGAGGAATGGAACTTTTCGAGCCCGACTTTAAAAAACACCTGTAAAACTCTGAAAACCAAAGAAATTTTTTTAATTGATAGACTTGTTTTGTTACTACCGTCATTCTCAATCTGCTCTATTATATCAGTTTCGGAATTGGAATTATCCATTATTACCACTATTTTATCATAAATTATTATTGAGAATAGTTTGACACATCACAAACTTTAAATCTACCAGACCAAATCATCAAACCTACTAATTAAAGGCGTCACAAGAAAAAAAATCGTTACTTTATTAAAAAACTAAGTTACTAGACAAACTACAATTGCCCACGTAATTGTAAAATTTTAAAATAAATAAMTGTTTCTCTATTTATAATTATTTTACAATTTTAAATTGTAGGTCCTATTAACCAGAATTTATGATAGTTCGATTAGAACCTGAAATAGTTCAAATTGACTTCACAATAATCAGTGTTTTATAAATAATTATAAATTATTCTACAACAAATTCACTATCAAATTGTTACTTTCCACCAAAATATATCAGAAGCAAGCCCAGGAAGTATTTTGGAATCTAGTAGAGGTTATGTCGTAGTTTCCAGAAATGGCAAGAAATTTGTGTCACTTTTTGAAAACCGACGGTTTTGACCCCTTGAAGCGTCTTTTCCCATCATTGAGGTTATATTCAGCAAACCCCATGAAAAAAACAGAAAATGTGGCCCCCGTGTACACCAAGAGAGACAATGAGTTTAAAATGACCAAGAAAGGAACTATTTCCACTTTGGAGCAACTGTTACAACTTAAAAAATTTGATGCTTCTAATATTGTGATGGATAATAATTGTTTCAAATATGTTTCTAAAGCGACTCTAAAAGGCAATTATACAGTTTTTAAACAGAAAGGAATAACACAAGAGACTTTATTCAAGTATCCGGAAATATTAACAGTGTTAGAAACGGAGCAAAAATTACAGATTATTGAAAAGTTAAAGTACGATATAAACGAAGTAGCAATTCTTTTATTACTAAATGTACCAAGTCTTGAACAAGTAGAGAAAAACGAAGAAAATCCAGAAGTGGGAATAATCGCGACTCTATCCTCACTTTTACAAGTATTTTTTCGTTGTTTAAATGTAATTTTTATCGATTTGGTTTCAGATAGATTATCAGAAAGCCTGTGAATACATAGTAAATAAACCATTCTTGTGCTTCCTCTCAACCGAAAAAATCAAAACAAAAATAAAGATTCTAACCAGTTATGGTATACCATTAGAGGAAATATGTAATGACTTGTGGGTACTAAGATACAGAGAGCAGTTAATAGAAGAACGTTTAAGTAGAGCCAAGGAATACAACATAGGAGTTGCAAAAACCTGGATGGTAAGAGCCAAACAGGAAGTGTTCCAGACGTATGTGATTCCCCTCAATTTCAAAAAAAATCAATCGTTATTTTCAGCTACATTCAGCGACGTTCAGATAATAAATCGATTTTGGGCAACAGCTCCCTCGCCGAGTACTTATCAGAACGTCTAGAGTGCAGTGTTGAAATCGCAAATTACATGATAACAAAACAACCAGCCCTCCAAAATAAGAGTTTGAAAAAACTGAAAGAACTCATAGACTTGTTGTATGCTGAAGGTTTCCAACCCCAACAGATAATCAGAGTGCCCAAAATCCTGGTCCACAGTGTGGAAACAACAAGGAAAAGACTGCAACAACTGACTGAAAAAGGCATTAAAATCGACACTTTATCTCTCTTGACTAAAAGCCAAAACCAATTCATGCAGTATTACGAGGCTTTACTCAAGAATAAAAATAAATCGAAAATAAAAACGAGCTAATTACTGAATCGCTTTGGATTTAATTTTACTTGATTGGTTATTAAAATAAGTTAATAGTATGACTGCGGCGAGTCTGGCTTGGAGGTCTTGTTGGTTCAAGTCGTGAGCCCACTCGACTCTTCCCCAGTGGCCTGTTTGGTACTCCTCTTCCAGGCGAGATAAAAGGACTGCTTTTTCAGGAGTTAGGAAGTGTTCCACACACGCTAGCGTCAATATTACTGATTTTAAAGTGTCCACTCCGTACATAAATCCGCAAATTGTAGCAAAATTGTGCGATAACAAGTGTTTGCTTAAAGTCGCTTTGTCTTTTTCACTAGCTGGGGGGGCGTCCATTTGTTGCGATTTTTTTATATTGACTTCGAAGCGTTTATTGAACCAATCTATGACAGGGTCCCATTCTTTCTCTTGCAATTCAAGCAAATCTTTCTCTTCCTAGAGAAAATAAAGAATTAAAAGTGCCCTAGCGATTATTTTACTCACATCGGCTTGAAATAAAATCGTGTCAGTGTCCAAATAGTTTGTGATGTGGTTAACCATGTCATATTTTGTTAAATTATTTGGATTATCAATGACTGTGTTACATAATGTAGTCTGGAAATTGAAAATTTGGTTATTTTGAATTAAAATAAGTACGTCAAGGGGGCGCATACAAGGTGCATTTTACTCTGAATAATGTTCTCCTTTTGTGAATTCCATTCTGTAGCTACTGCGATAGCCAAGGGCTCACTTTCAACGCTAAATAAATTTCCCTGTGGTGTTTTTAATTTTCTTTGATCCAGAGTTATTTCATATTTGCCCTCACTGCGTAAAATCCCAGTATTTCGATAAAAACGTTTTCGAGTTGCTAGAAAATGAGGTTATTTGGTGTTAATAACAATTCTTTACTAACCATAATGCCTGAAAGAATTGTTAAAATGGCTTAATGCACTTGAATCATGTAGTTTACTAGTGAATTTCAAACAATTTAAAAATGTTTTGAACATTTTGGTTACAAATTTCTAGGTTAGGTTGTCAGGTGAGATGCAAGGTGGGTGCATAGAAAAGTGATGATTTAAATTAATATTTTAATAATAACACAAAAATTAGCTCATTCTATTCTAGAGAACTATTTCATTTTGGTGATTTTTATATCTCCTTTCAAGTTTACAATACTGAAAAAACAATCTCAATGCCACCCACCTTTATTGTATCACCTTGCACTAACTAAATTTTCAGCAGATGACCTCAAAAATCAATTTTTTATGTTTTCTTATTTTTCATGGTTATTAATTTAAAGTCCTGCAAGACGTAATTTTGATTCTTTTGTAAAAATTTTAATATCTGGTGATTTTTCCAGTTTTTAACCAGAAATTTGATTATTTCTTCAAATTTTTTCAAAAAAGTCGAAAAACCACCAAATAGTTCTGTTTATTTTTTATCAAGATTTTACTTAACAGGATTGAAAATTCTTTTTCAGCAAGAAACACAATTGTTTCGCAAAATTTGGTTAAAAGCAATCCAAAAATTCAACAAACTCCACCAAAAACAGCGGTTTTTTTTTGCCTTTTTCACGTGTTTAAGCACGTTTTTAAGGTAAAAACAAAAAAATTCTAAAAATTTTGTTGAAGCAGGCAAACAAATTACATTCGTTTTTGAACCAGAGGCTCATTTATCTTACAAAATCTTGTCCAAACACGCTCAAAAATCACAAAAACAATTGATATTGATGTTATTTTGTTTGTTTCACTTGATTTAATAACTGATTTTTGAAAAAAATAAAAAGTGCGATTTTGTACTAAAATTTCAGGTTTTTCACTAGATTTCGCTAAAACAAACTAAAAAATCAAGAAATTAAGTCGAGAATTACATTTCTCGAGCTTTCTAGCACGTTTTTCAGCTAGAAACGTAATTATTTCGCAAAATTTTGTTGAAAAGCCGAAAAATCACAGAATTAAATCGAAATGCATGTCATTTTTGTTTTTTTCAAGAGTTAAAGCGGATTTTTAAGCTGAAAACTGCGTTTTTTCATGAGTAAAAATTTGGCGAATTTTTCAACTCGGATCTGGTGAATTTTGTTTTTGATCTAGTTTCACGACCTGAATTTTTTGTTATAAATTTTACCGAAAATTTTATTAATGCTTATTTATTTTAGCTTTAAATGAAATTTCATGATAAAAAAGTTAACTGCCGTATTCCGTTTTCTCTAAAAGATACGTTTTGGCAATAACATTATGAGAAGAAAAAAAAATGGGGTAACTTTTTAACATAAAAATTTAGTGTAATTCAATTTTACACTAAATAATTTTTATGCAAGAAATGGGGGGAGTAAATAATGAAGAATGCAACAAAACAATAACAAAAAAACTGACTTCTTCATACGAAACTTGTCGATTTTTATTCTTCACTTCATACCTAACACAAAAAATATAAGATTTTAAACAAAAAATGACAGAGAAATTTCACAATTTGCAACAAGTTGAAGCACAGTAAAAATGCGTAATTCACATAAAATTAAAACAAATCGATTTATGTATCGACACAATCCGGAATTGGTGGTGCCAAAAGTTAATTTCTCTGAAAATTCAAAGTTTTACTGTTTATAAACCAGCACAGTTCTGTAACCTTATATATTTATCTTTAAATACGATGAAACTATTTACAATGTTCAAAAACATGAACTTGGAAATAAATATGAGAAACAATTCAATGTAGTAAATTAAAAAAAAAAAAAACTAAAAATAAGAGAAACAAAATATTTAATTATGCGCCAATCGCGCAAGAGAGTTAAAAGGGGTCGTTTTATTTGAATAATTTAATATTATTTAAATTCCATGTATAGTTTTGCGTCGGAGGATAATCCTTATCCACTCACAATATTCCACCAGAACAAAACAAAACAAAAAATAGTTCAAGCAACGTAGGTGTAAACTTTCCTGTCTTCGGGCGTCCGTGCCAGATACTCCCTCTCAATCAACCCTTCTATTCGTTTCTTAATAATAACCGGCGATGGTAGAAATCTGCTTTTCAACTGCTCGGTCACTTCCGTCACAAGAATATTATGCGGCATTCGTTTCCTCGACTTCATTATTCTAACAATAGCTGCTTCTATTTCATGCTTCCTGTCCTCATCCACTTTGTTCCTAGTTTCGCGTCTTTCCGGCTCGCTCTCCCCCTTCGCCGCCACTGTCTGAATCTTGACACGATGCAACTTCGACGTGAACGAATCATTCACATAAAACTCGTGATTCGATTCGATTTCCTTAGTCCTGGGATTCTTAATCAGGATCCTTTGTGTCGCTTTGCCCATCGCGAGCGATTGCAACGCTCTTATCAAATCCCTCTCGGGGATATCCGACTCGTTTAAAATCTCCTCATAGCTCAGTTTCTCATGGTTATTGAACAACATTAAAACAACCATTTGGTAAGTGGACACCTGAATTATGTGCTTTCGGGGGCCTGTCCTCGGCGAGATGGAACTAGTCGACGAACAAGCACCATCCTTGTCTGGATCTTCCTTTTTCGGACCGAAAAATATGGCATTGAGATCGGCATTGCCCAATTGGGGTTGTAACGTCAACTGCCTTCCGCTATGTTTGGCTAAATAAAATCTACAAGAAAATGATAAAAAGAAAAAAAATAAAATGTCTTTCTTACTCACCTACTAAAACATTCGAAGGCAGCTAGTGGAACAGCAGGAATGTGGCACTTGGGAGTGGCGCTCTGCGTAGGCCAGAACCCAGTCGTTAAGACACGCATGAAAAGGTCCACCCCGCATAAGCTTGACTAACGCAAAAAAAAAACAATTAAAAATGCACATACAATTTTTTTTCTACTACATTAATACCTCAGTTTTGGTGATATGATCCTTAAACTCGTCCATGATCGTGTTTGAAACTGTCATATCTTTGAACATACCTTCAAGTTTTGACGTGAACTGGCAACCACATTCAGTCTAAAACAAACAAAAAAAAAACATTTTTATTATTGTGCGCTTTTTAATTTATTAAATTTAGGGAATTTTGCATTATTTGGTAACACGTAGCAGTCTCAAGTTTTTTTCATGTACGCCACCGGAAATTCGTAAAATTGATAAGAATATTATTGGTAAAATAACCGCATATAATGGCATTGTCACCAACACGAAAATCATAAAATACACTAAGCTAGCGTTATTAAAAATGGAGAATAGAAAAAATAATATAATAAACAAATTGAAATACTTTGATTCAAGTTGATTTCCAGCTTAAAATTGAGCCAAATCTATTGGAAATAGCACAAATTGCTTCATTTCGGCATAAAATTGGGATTAAAGACATTATTTTTATAAAATACATTAATTTAGAATGAATTCTGTATTAAAATAGAGGAAAATTGGATTAAAAATAGCTCAAATTACTTTATTTTGGAATAAAAAAATTATGAGCGAAATTGGATTGGAAATAACTCAAATTGCGTTATTTTAAAAGAAAACTGTTACTTAAGCATTTTTTGGTTGGAATGCTTTGGTTCGAGTTGATTTTTAACATAAAGTTAGCCAAATCGATTGAAAATAGCAAAAATTGCTTTATTTCAGCCTAAAATTGGAATTAAAGAAATTATTTTTATAAAATACTTTGATTCAGAATTATTTCTGTAGTAAAATTGGGTTGAAAATAGCTCAAATTGCTTTATTTTGAAAGAAAACTGTTAGTTAAGCATTTATTTTGTTAAAAAAACTTGATTTCCGGCTTAAAATTGAGCTAAATTGATTGAAAATAGCACAAATTGCTTCATTTTAGCCTAAAAAAAATTATGAGCATATATTTTTATGAAATATTTTGATTTTAGAATAATTTCTGTGTTAAAATCGAGCGAAATTGGATTGGAAATAACTCAAATTGCGTTATTTTAGAAGAAAACTGCTACTTCAGCATTTATTTTGTTGGAATGCTTTGGTTCAAGTTGATTTTTAACTTAAAGCCAAATCGATTGAAAATAGCAAAAATTGCTTTATTTCAGCCTAAAATTGGGATTGAAGAATTTTTTTTAAATAAAATACCTTAATTTAGAATAATTCCAGTGTTAAAATTAAGCAAAATTGAATTGGAAGTATTTCAATTTCAATTCAATTTCTTTTAGCCAGGTTCAATACATCTTAGTCCGTTAAGAAACAGTATTAAAATTAAAATTTAAAACATTAAAATACATCTTCTTCTTGGATCTTCTTGGTATGGAAACGATGAACAAAAACACGATTAGCCCGTCACACCAAACTTTTATTTTAATAGCACAACGCGTTTCGACCACAAAGTGGTCATCCTCAGGTGAGAATAAAACTAAAATAAAAGTTTGGTGTGACGGGCTAATCGTGTTTTTGTTCATTAAAATACATAAAAAACATCAGAGTTGTTTACAAAATGTTAATTATTTAGATATTCTTTAATGGAATAGAAACAATATTTTAATAAATGTGAAAAGGGGACCCTTGTCTGTGATTTTGGATAGCTCAATTTGCTTTATTTTGAACTGTTATTTAATTATTAATATTTTTTTTTTAATAAAGTGCATAAGTTGATTTTGTAAGTACTATTTTTTTTCCTTATATTATGTAATTTACATTACAGCAAATTAACTTTCAACAAACTATAAAATAAATAAAATATTTTCCGAATATTTTTTTCTCTATGACTTATTTCCTTATTTTTTTCTAACGTAATGTCTCTGCAGATTGCAATTAACAGTGTATACAGGATGTCTCAACTAACACTCCCTTAATTGAATAAAACATAAAATTCGCTACATTACATTTGTCTTGATTTTTTTACGATAAATGTATTTCAAATTAATTATTTTCATTTCAGGGAACAAGTATTTTAAAATTACAATTTCTTCAGTTTCAGTTTTACTGAAACATTCTGTGTGACAAAACTACTTACTAAAATACAAACTTAAAGTCTCCAAAAAATCTTTTTCAAATTGTTTTCAATCACGTAACTTATGACACATAAACAAGCTAAATTTCCCAATAAAAAGTTTATCTCTATTACTTTTTTTTTGGTTAAAATCCATCATGGTTGTTATATAAACAACATCTTGCAGGGAATTCATTACTTGTATTATTATTTCAAGGTTGTTGATAAGTCGTATCGGAAAGAGAAAAACCTTGAAATAAATTTAGATAGACACTGAATGATTTCTGTTATAAACACCCAAGTTATCATAAAAATCTTTTTGTTTCTTTACCTTTAACTTTGAAATCATATTTTTCTCCCAATCGTCGCTAACCGATTTATTCAAAAGTAATCTCTTGGCCAAATGTTGTTTATAATAGCGTTCAAAAACGTCTTTCTCTTGAAGGAACCTAAATAATACCATAGACTTGTCAAGAACCAATTCAATTTCTTGTTCAGACATCTGAAACACAAAAACATTTATAATGGAATTTTCTCAATTTACAAATGTACCACCCACCCCTTTAACACCTTTCTTTAATTTATCATCTATAAATAACGAGAGATATTCGGGCGATTTCGGATTGAGATTGAGAAAATGTTCGAAATCTGAGGCAATCATCTGTTTGAAAATCTTATCGTTATTGAATGAATTCTTCAAGAAATGATCGAAACGATCTTTCAGATCTAACAACGATTGGACGAAAGTGATCGCATTGGTGGATGGTTGATGTTCCTCTTCTTGTACCAAAGCTTTACCTTGCTCTCTCAAATACTGACTCACACAATCGGCCATTGTTTTTAAACCATCGGCAACTCTTCCAAACAACTTGTACATACAAGCCAAATCTTCAGTTTTCTGATGCTTTAACATATGCACAACACCTGAATTTTCCATTTCAACTATAGTTTTCATATGCTTCTTAATCAGTTCCTCTTCAACCACTTCAACAATTCTCGATTCGGTTGATTCATCCAAATAGTGTTTCGCTCTATCCGATTCTTCATTAATTCTAGCTTCTACTTTATTTATATACACGGATGCACTATTTTCAGCTAGAAATTTTTGACTTTCAACTTTGTAAAATTCGGCCGATTGTTGAAGGAATGGTCGTTCGAAATCCTCTTCGTAAACAGCACGCGAATTAATACCAAGTACCATAAGCATTTGACAGGCGTTTTTTATCGAAATTCTATCAACTTTTTCACCTCGTCGTTCACGCATCACCATATCGAGAAGGGTTTCACGAAGATGATCACGTATACAACCGTAACGTACAACTTGATCGCGAAAAATTATCAAGCCCAAATTGTAGACGTTATCGACGTCGTTTTGTTGCACATAAACGCGATCCATGTACATGAGGATGTCACGAATCATCACCATCGATGTTTGGTGGTCATTCCAGGCCTGATTCAGTGTCATCAGGAAGCAGTTGTGGAGAGCGCGAAGGACGTCTTCACGGACCTGCAGCAAAATAATAATAATAGTAAAAATCGGTATTTCATTTATGTTATTCCCAAAGGAATAAAGTATCCTATGAGTGGAAATATAAAATTTTATATCTTCTTCTCCACCTTATTCAATATTTAATTTCAAAATTTTATTACTAGAAATAACTTCGTAAACGAGAGGAACTTTAAATAAAACACAATTTTGCCGCCTCACAAAACAAACATTTCTTATCGCGTGATAAATCTCAACTATAGATTTTCCTGTAGATTATGATTACAATACAATCTTATTTTTCCGAATTTGATAATAAAATTTATATAATTTAGAGAGAGAATAAAAATCGTTTTCTCCTGTCTATATGCCAACTCATTGTTTGAACTTCATTTACCTGAAAAAATGTAAACAGAACCGGCTGATTTTTTTCACGTTCAAGTTATTTTCCTTTGCTTTGCAAAAAAACTGAGTAATTTTCTAGATTTATCCATCAACTATTAATAATATTTTAGTTTCAAATTTGTATAAATCACTAAAATCTAATTCCCTGTGGACATCGTGCTATTTATCAGAAGTCGATTAAATGACATAGCAAATGTCAGTAAGCACGTCGATAATTATCAGTTTTCAGCGTAATTTAAATTAAAAATTATATTTTCATAAGCACAAAAAACGACCACAAATGGCTTAGTTTTTTTTATTTCAAAACAACAGTTTCATAAGTCTGAAATTATTATTTAAAAAAAACATAATAAACATAGCTATAAATCTTTGATTTGCATTTCCCAACTTTTTAAACATGATAAAATCATTAAAATTGGCAAAAATACAAGGTGTTAAAAAAAGATTATAAAAAAATTCCAAAACGTAATAGTATGGACCAAAACAAACAAAAAATTCTTAATAAACATGGGTTCGCAAAATAACGGTTTCGGACATATCGAAAATTATTCGTTTTTTGAAACATTTATTTGCAATCTGTTTAAACAAAAAAAGAAGCTTCGAATAAAAGTTTTAAAACGTTTCACATTCGATATCTCCAAAACCGTTACCTTCTTAAATACCTATTAAACACCTATTTTTTTAACACCCTGTATACAAAAAACTTTGTATTTTGTAATTTACAAATTATATTTGAAGGGGTGAGTGGATAAAAGTGTTATGTAACATTTTTTTTGAAAACTGGTATTTTCTTTTAAAACAATTTAAAATAAATAAATAAATAAACAAATAATAAAAAATAAATCTTCAAAAAAAAGCACAAATAACACAATTTTTTACTTAATTCAATTACTTTCCGACATATTCTTGACAAAATTTTGCGAAATAATTGCGTTTTTTATTGAGAAATGTTTTAAAACTCGAAAAGAGCATAAATTATGTCGTTTTTTATTTAGTCTGGTATATGTATTAATTTTTTGGTATGTTTTTTAGCAAAAATTAAAGAAAAAACCTTGTTTTAGACTTAAAAACGCAACTAAATGTTTGAAAAAAGCAAAAATAACATCATTTTCGAGTTAATTATGTGCTTTTTGGGCTTATTTTTAACGAAGTTGTGTGCTTTGCTTTTTTTCGGCTCAAAAAACATGCTTAAACTCTCTAAATAAGCAAAAATAATTTTAGTTTCGTGATAGTTTGTTCATTTTTTACCTCATTTTTGACCAAAATTTTCAAAACAATTGTGATTCTGACTAAAAAATATCCTAAAACGGAATAATTTTTGAACAAAATTTTTAGCACAATCTAAAAAAGTAAAAATAACACCATTTTTGAGTAAATTTAGCGATTTGTGACGAAATAATTTTGTAAATTTTTAATTGAAAAACGTGCTAAAACGCCTAACCCAATTTGGTAATTTTTCAATATGTTTTAACAGAATCTTACAAAAAAACGTGATGTAAACAAGCAAAATTCATTATTTTTCACTTAATTTGGTGACTTTTCGGTATATTTTTGTCTAAATATTTCGAAATAATTCCGTCTCTTATTGAAAAATATGATATTAATATGGAAAACCGTTTTCAAAAAGTCGATGAACTAGCTTCAAAATTACGCCTAGTAAACAAGAAAAAAAATCTTTTAAATGAGAATGTTAATTTTCGGGACAGCATAAAGTGGACTTTTTTATATTGTGTCGTTTTTTTTCATTTATAAATGTTTTGTTAAAATTGAAATATTTTTATAAAGCAATAGTTATCACAAAGTTTATATTAGAAAATAAAGCTTGTTTTTTGGTACATAACACTTTTATCATTTTTTTAATAACATAAACTAATGTATTAGTATAGTGGATGAAGGGGTCATGCACATTTGATCGTTAAAAAATCTATAAAAAACATAATTACCTAAGTTTCCTTATAACAAGGAAACAAGATTCACATAGGCCTTTATATATCATGTAATTTTTTACCAAAAACAAATTGGAAAAAAATACCCGCAAATTAAATTAAAATGCTTATAACTCCAAATATAGGTAAAGCACATTACATTATTTTATTTGTTTAAGTTACATCTGGTTAAATGAATGTAGTAACAAAATGTAATAAATATTTGATGTAATAAAACAAATAAAGTGGCAAAAAATTACCTCTTATCTCATTCTCTCTTCCTCTTCGTTAATTGATAATATACATTAAATAATTAATAACTTGCAAGATAAAATCACTACTTTTTATTATCTTATTCATTTTGATAAAAAAATTATAGTCATCGTGCATACACTCAAAAGTAGTCATAAACAACAAAGTTTAAAATAACAAAAAAAAAAAAAATGCATCGTGTAATCAAGGTGAACATATGCGATGTTTAGCTTTAATAAATATTGTGAAAACAAGCAAAAACGAAATAATAGTTTAAAAAAATTTGATACAATTTGTTGGAATTCTTTCAAAGTTAATTAATTTACTGTGTTAAAAATAACCTGCAATGTAATACCATTGGGCATTTGCTGTGTTTAAATTAGTCATCAAAGATAAACACTGCAATTAACCCAATAATGAAAATTCGTTTTTCTTATCTCAGAAATAAATATTTCTTCTTACCTTTGATTCTAAATGATGAGTAACAACCTCCTTGAGCCCTGTGTACAATTTCTCTCCATGTTTATGGAGAACCATAGTGTAGGCATTCCTGTACAATTCTTCAAAACTCAATCCTGAATTGTTCTTTTTCTGAATTTCCTGAATAGCATTTTTCAGAAGGGCCCATATGCTCTCCACATACTTTTCATCCATAGTCATCTATAAAACAAATCAAATGAAATGACTGTTCAGATTTCAAACACCACAAATACAGATTTAAACGTGATGTCGCCGGGGGGGTCATTTTGCCTGCAAAACTGCCCGTTTTTCATGTCTGAGATATTCAACACATAAATTTTGCAAAATTTCAAAAATGGTGAAAGAAAAATGACATTTATGACAAGTAGGAGACTCAATTTGTTTGCGCGAATGAAAATCACCATTTTGGTCGAAACTGAAAGGAAAAACCATCTCTGGCCGTGATTCATGGTAAAATTCGAAATTTTCGTGGGTCCTAATTAAAAAAACTGACATTTGTGACAAATGCGAGGTTCAATTTTTGATTTTTTCTTTGCAAGGTGGCCGTGGTTCATGGTAATTTTGGTGGGGCTTGTTTTTGTCAAATTGTGATAATTGGTGTTATCTTGGCCGAAACTGAAGGGAAAAACCGTCTCTGGTCGTGATTTATGGTAAAACTCGAAATTTTCGTGGATCCTAATTAAAAAAACTGACATTTGTGACAATTGCGAGGTTCAATTTTTGATTTTTTCTTTGCAAGGTGGCCATGGTTCATGGTAATTTTGATGGGGCTTGTTTTTGTCAAATTGTGATGATTGGTGTTATTTTGGCCGAAACTGAAGGGAAAAACCGTCTCTGGCCGTGATTCATGGTAGAATTCGAAATTTTGGTGGGTCTTAAATAAAAAAACTGACATTTGTGACAATTGCGAGGTTCAATTTTTGATTTTTTCTTTGCAAGGTGGCCGTGGTTCATGGTAATTTTGGTGGGGCTTGTTTTTGTGCAAATTGTGATGATTGGTGTTATTTTGGTTGATTTTCGAGGGTCATTGATGATAATAATCGCGCAAAGCGTATCACTTTGACATTTCTAGAGGACAATGCACTTGTTCGTTGGATAATTTTGGGGACTTACTGGAAAGGCACGAATCCTCATTTTGCCTTCCTTTTTGCTGAGAGACGAATTCTTCATCGCTGACATTTTCGTAACTCGTTTAAAACACCACGCACCAAATTCGGCAATCGCACAAATCACTCGTAGCTGGTATCAAAAAAGGTTGCTTTTTCCGGCTTCGAGTCCTCCTTTTCGTGAAAACAACCACTCATCTTTAACAATAACACTAAACAACAATGCCCGTTTCGTTTTTCCGATTTTTAGAGATGATGATGATGTTGGTAAAAGCTAAAGCACTAGCGAAAGTCAATCACACGAAACGGATTTTAACTAGTGGAAAATTGTCTTTTCGCATTAAACGCGATTTTTCACCTTTCGATGCACAAACTTCACATCGCCATTGTCAACGTTGAGAAAAACGAAGAGAAAGTTTCTCGGACTTTTCAGCATTCAGCTGATTCGTTTTTTATTATTCAGGTTCAGAGACACGCATTGGCGACAACATTACGAACCGAAAACTCCCTGGAATTCACACGAAACGTCACGTCATTGCGGTTACTTTTGATTTGGTTTTTTCATTATCATAAATTAAAATTGTTTAAATTGCTAGTTCAATGATTTATTTGTCTGCAATTGTACAAAAATACACGTTTTTCCGAAATCGTCACTAAAGTTGCATAAAATCGACATTATCATTACACAATTTGGTGTACTGTTGGTTGCAAACATTAATAACAATGTTGTCAAGTTACTGTCTTATTAAAACATAATCTTTTATTAACGTGTATCTGTTTATAAGTTTGGTTTTTAATTTTACAAATATACTTTTATATAGTGGCTAGTTATTTTGCGAGACGGTAATATTGAAACGAGAAATTTGACAACACTAGACCTGTTTTAAATCAAAAGAAATACCAGTTTTTGTTGTTTGTAATTATTTTTTTAACAAAAATATAATTATGCATATACTTAGCTATGTTTGATCACTGTATGTTTCATATTTTTAACATTTTTTTTCTACACAAAGAAATTAAAAGCTATTTTATACTATACACCTTTTTATTCAGTTATAATTACACTAATAGTATATTACATAACGAGCACGGAAAGTAATAAATAACGCACAAGCGGGAAAGTTGTGTACGAGGCGTAAGCCGAGTGCAGGCAATCCCGCGAGAGCGTTAGACACTTTCCTGCAAGTTTTGTACACTATTTTTACTACGACCATAAATATTTTTTTTCTTACGAACATATTTTTTTTTTCCTAACGATTTATTTTTTATAATGGATACAAAAAAAATCCGTTAAATGAAAAAATACAAAACATTCGAGTGTGAATTGTGCGTTAAATTTCTAACACACAGTGCGAAAACAAATCGCACAGATTTTCGACCTCGTTCGATATTGCCAATTTTGGCGCATATGTAATTGTGCGTTATGATCTAGTTTCGTATATGGTCGTAGGAAAAAATGTTTTACTTTTATTCTTCTTTGAGAATTTACACTTGAAGTTTTGAAAGTAGCATTTCGTTGTATAAGAGTATTATTATTGGCATTTTTCTGTGTTAAAAAGATTCTTTTTGATGTTTTTATGTAAAGTTCAATAAGTAAAGTATAATCACGTCTTTTCAAGTCTCACACATTACGAAAAACTCTATATACTCACATTTTCAAATTTCAAAATATTGAATTTAAATTAGAATTTGTAGAATAATAAATTAAAAACTGTTTTTAACATCTTATCAGTAAAAAAAAACAAAATACGGAGTCATAAATGTAGGTGTAATAAAAAATATGCAATAAAAACGAAATAATACACTGGCGGACACGGAATTTTTGACGATTTGTCATTCGAGTGACATAAAAATGTAAAACGAGCCTTAGGCAAATAACCTCACTTTCGGTTTTTGTAATTTTTATACTGATAGCTAGAGAAAACATGACAACAAATCAAAATAATTTATTGAACTTATATAAAAACACGTATTGCTGGCATTATTGTTTCGGAAAATCGATGCCAAACAACCAAGATTTTCAAATTTTAGTTTCAAACGTCAATCATAATGACAATAAAGCGTGACATTGACATTTTTTGAACTGACATAAATAATTTATTGTCATATTTATAAACTAATTTAAATCAAATTTTTGATTAGTTTCTTGGAATACAGTGGTAGAGGTAATGTATGCAACCAATTATACATCATACAATTTGTCTCATTTAGGAAAAGTAAGAAAATTTCGGATTATAATTATTAAGTATACAATTTATTAAAAATACTCTACAGTCCACACAAACGGTTCTCTCAAATCCGGCCGATTTATTTTATAAAAAATAAAGTCATCTCCCCACATAAAATTGTAAAAATCAACTTTGTTTCAATTACATTTTCCTCGCTTTTGTCTTACTAGAATAGTTATTTCAACATTTATTCACAATAAAACCATGGGAAGAACAAAAAATCTATAAATTTTCAACGTCGCTACCTTCTTCTCTCCCCTTTTTGAGTCTTACGCTTCTCTTTCTTTTCTTCTCTTAGCTGTTTCTGTTTTTCTCTATCTTCCTTATCCTTTTCCTTCTTTCTCTGACTGTCCAGTTTGGCCTGTTCTCTTTTAACTTTCTCTGCATGAAGAACCGACTGTACGTTTGTGTTCTTTTCCAAGCCGTTTTCTTTGTGGTCCCCTGCTTGATTCCCATCCTCTGCCTCGTCTTCATCGTCAGTCATTTGCGAGTATTGCAACAAGATCGCCTCGCGGATTTTTTTCTCCTCTTCTGTGTACTTTTTCTGTTTGGTGGTGGCTAATGATTGAGATTCTAATAATTTGACAAGTTTTGTATCAACATCATCACTCGTGCTCTGCGACGGAGGCGGCTCTTTGCGTTTGTGAAACTGCCATTTCTCCAAGATTTCGTTACATATTTTATTTATTTCTTCCTCCTAAAAAGGCGACATGTGACGCTTGTGCTCGAGTGGGGGTATTCAACACTCACATTTTGAATTATTTCTGAAAGTATTCCTTGTAATGCCTCAAATTTTTCTTCGTAAGATTCATCACTGTCTAAAATGCCTTGAATGTAAGAGCCGAAGACACTTTCATCCGTGTTTAACTCTTCCAAAGTGCGATTTAACCATGAAGAAAAGTCCTCCATGGCAGTGGCCATTTTTATTTAAAAATTTAGTGACTTTTCGGTTTTACTAGCGGTTGGCCAACTTGTTTGTTTGTTGTTAATGGCGGTGCTGTCATTTTTCTGTCATTTGACCTCATCTCCGGGTTGTTTTAACGATAATTGTAATTAATTTATGACTAATTAGTGAAATATGTCAATTGGTTTACTTAATTTAACCCACTGTGAGTGACAGTTTTTTTGGTGATAATGTCGAACCTCCGGAGTGATTTGGATCCGTCTCTGGACCAAAAACTGCAGTACATGTCCCTCAACGACTCAAATCCAAGGTACGGCCGTATTATGAGCAAAGCAGAGCCGGCGGTGCCCCCTTACCACCAGAAACAAAAATCGATCGGGGCCATTGAGAGTTTTGTGGCAGAAGGGCCCCCTCAACAAAAATCCAATGACTACACATTGTACGAAAGAAACAATATAATAGCCAGCTCAAAATACGCCACTCCTAAGCAAGTTGAGACTTTAGTCCAAAAACAAGTTGAAGAGAATGATATTTACGTCCAGTGTGCTAAGCCTCAAGTACCCCCAAATTCAAGTCCTACACACTCCTTGAGCGGTTCATCGCAACATTCCGGCAGCCCCCGAACCAGCATGGTAGCTAACCCAACCCCAGTGTACGAAAACATCGACTATTACTACCAACACCCTTACTACCAATCAATGGAAAGTAACTACCGAAAAGCCCAACCCCAAGTCCCCTCAAGCAATAGAAACATGACACGCGACGGTGAGGCTTTGCCCGTCTACGAAAACTTGCAATCATTGGGGCAGAAATCCAGCGGGGCGACTCCGGGGCCCCAAGTGCCTGCGAATCAAGCACCGCCTCCATACTCCATGCAATCGTACAAAAGCGCCCTTAAAGCCCCATATTATCACAATTTTAATAAAAATTTGTCTCAACAACAGTTGGATGAGATCAATAGTAGCGATTATGTCTGTATGACGGGAAATATCTCTCACACTTTGAGTACTAATGTGCCGTTTCAAACGTCCACTGCCAAAAATTACAATAGAGAGCCTGGGACTGGGATTGCAACGACACCATCAGTTTTACCCAAAACTCCAATTGTGAAGGAGAAAGTCGAAGTGAGACCACCACCGGTACCGAGCCCCACACCCAGTGCTTGCAGTACTATGAGTGCTGGAAAATTGAAAATGAGCGGAAAAACTCTATTGCCATATAATGTTACACCGCCGAGGCCAAGGGGGCCCACTGAGGCTGAAAGAAAGATCGAGGAAATGACAAGACAGATTGAAGAAGAAATGGAGAAACATGAAGAGGAAGGCGAATATTTTGGTAATTGACTTTTTTCATTTTTGCCCATTTTAGGGTTTTTTTTTTCTTTCTCGAAAATTATAAAAATTATAAACATAATAACGTGGCTTGAAATATTTTTCATGCAGATTTCTCCAATACTTGAAAAACATTAGTCAAGAACTATGAGATTTTACAGTTTTTTGAAGTTACAAATTTATTTTGTTAGGTTCTTTAATATTTTCTCAAGTTTTCATATTTTATAACAACATGGATAATTGTTTTTGTATCTACTTGCAGTATGTAGCCATATTTGAATTTTTAACAAATTATTTATTTAGCAAAAAATTACCGTTTACAAGTGTGGCAAAAACTGTCGTTATGGTAGTAACAATGTTTATTCCCTAGGAAACTGATAATGGGGTTTCGTTAATCAATTAGACAACGTTGCCACATCCATTTTTTTTTACCAATAACTTTAAAAATTTTTAAATTATTTTCATCTTTATATAGAGTGTGCCAGAACTCACGCCCCAGAGAAAAATGTAAGGTAAGATATCAGGAACATAAAAAAAATCTATCTAAAAAAATTTCGAAGTGATGAAAGTTTAAATTTTGCACTTTGACTCGTATTTATTTCTGTTGGAAAAATAATTTTCCAAGCTAAATTGTAACTTGTTGAATATTTGTGGCGTTTGTCAAATGTCAAAATTTTTTGACAGATAGAATTTTTTAAACACTTTTTCCATGTTCCTGGTATCTTATCTTACTTGAAATTTTTCTCTGGGGCGTGAGTTCTGACACATCCTGTATGTAAGCATGTCTCTATCACCTTTTATTGAGTTGGTGTGCCACTTTTTGAGCGCCCTGTATTTTTTTAAATTTAAACAAAAGTTTGTGCTAAATACTTTAAAATTAAAGTGCAGGATTTTTTTATGAGAATCACTAATACCTAATAAAAATATTAAAAATTTCTTCTAAAATACGTTTTCTATTTTGGCATCGTTTTATTTTTTCTTGAAAACTATATTTGTTTTATAAGAAATCTGTTTAAACAGTAGTGATTGTTATAAATTTTTTTGACATAAATTGCCATTGAAACAACAAAAAAATTACAAAATGCAAAAACAAAAGAGTTGTTCTGAACATTGATCATATTTTTAGGTAGTTTGCTAAGAAATTACTTCTACTTTTTTTTTGAAAGTTTTTACGGAAAACTCTTTGTTTCAATACAGGGTGATTCAGCTTAAATGACCCATTAGACCCCTCTTGGCAGACAACCTATAATACACAAAGCAATTATTCCATGATTCATATTCGAATTTTGAAAGTTTCATGAATCGAAAAATATCGTTCTTTGATTCTCGATATTTTGAAAATTTAATTTTGAATCAAGGAATAAGTGAATAATGTCTTATGTGTTGTCTGCCAAGAGGGGTCAGGTGGGTCATTTAAGCTGAATCACCCTGTATACGTATACCTTGATTAGTTTTGAAACATTCATTAATTGTTTTCTACCAATAATTTACTTAGTAAATACAGGGTGCCCATTTTATTTGTTTCCGCCTGAAGGTGCAAAAAAATAGGCAACATATTATACAGGGTGCGCTCCAGATAAAACTGCCATGGAAGATAAGATACCACAAACATGGAAATAATGTTTAAAAAATTCTACCAATAAAAAATTCGAAGTTATATATAAATTTTGTACTTTGACTCTAATTATTTCGGTTGGAAAAATAATTTTCCAACAGAAAACAAAGAAGCTGTATCCTAAATTGTAACTCTGTTCAGTGTATTTGTGGCTTTTATTGGCAAAATTTTTGTAGTTTTACTAAATAATTATAAAAAAAACACATATACAAGATTATCAGTATTATTAAATAGACATAAAAAATGTTAAATGTCAAAGTTTTTTGACACACAGAATTTTTTAAACATTTTTTCCATGTTCCTAGTGTCTTATCTTACTTGAAATTTTTCTCTGGGGCTTGAGTTCTGGCGCACCCTGTATATTTCATAAATTATTTTGTGTAAAGTATTAATTATTCTTAATCAAGTAATCATAATTAAATCCAAAACTCAAATGTGTATTATTGGTTGCCTATTTATGAAATTTAAGGGGGGAACAGATAAAATGGACACTTGTATATTACTATTTTATAAATTAATTTGTTTGTCCTACTAGCTCAATAAATCCGAATTTTGATACAGAACATCGTCTTTTTTCTTTATTGAAACTTAGCTCTTAAAATGAAAAAAAATTGTAATTTTCTTTTTTTTTTTAGTAAATAAGTTGCTAAAAATTAAGTAATTTAATTTTTTTAAGGTATTTGCCACACATGCGGCGAAAAAGTGACCGGCGCCGGTCAAGCATGCCAAGCAATGGGCAATCTGTACCACACGAATTGTTTCATATGTTGTTCGTGTGGTCGTGCCTTACGTGGCAAAGCTTTCTATAACGTTCATGGAAGAGTCTACTGCGAAGAAGATTACCTGGTAATGACAAAAACAGAAAGCAGTCAAACCGAAAATCCAATAATTAATGATGTTTTGCAGTATTCAGGATTTCAGCAAACTGCGGAAAAATGTGCCATTTGTGGTCATTTAATCATGGAAATGGTAAACCAAATTCAATCCCCAAAACTATACCTAATTTTTATGTGTGTTTAGATTTTACAAGCCATGGGCAAGTCCTACCATCCAGGCTGTTTCCGTTGTTGCATTTGTAACGAATGCTTAGACGGTGTGCCTTTTACCGTTGATGTTGACAATAAAATTTACTGCGTTAACGATTACCACAGGATGTTTGCCCCAAAATGCGCTTCGTGTGGCAAAGGTAACGAGTTTAGTATTTTAACACCGAAAATGAATGAATTTTTTAGGTATAACACCGGTCGAAGGGACGGAAGAGACCGTCCGAGTTGTCTCCATGGATAAAGACTTCCATGTGGACTGTTACATTTGTGAAGAATGCGGAATGCAATTGACCGATGAGCCTGACAAGCGTTGTTATCCGCTCGAGGGGCGTTTGATGTGTCGAAGTTGTCACATTGAACGTCTCCAACATACCCCAAGACAGATGCATCCGGTGGCTGCCACATATCAGTATACGGGCTAAAAACAGCCACTACTTGTCGTGCTTTTATTAAAATTAGGATTTTAATGTGCCAGGTTTGGTAATGATGGTTTGCTCATAATAATTAGCTTTTAGTGTGTAGCTTTAATCTTGTTATTGAACAAACTAAAAGTGGTTTAGAGTTTTAGGAAATGTTACGTAAGCTAAATAGTGCATTTACACTTTAATTATTGTATGAAATGCCATGTTTAGGTGTCAAGTGTAAAAACTTGATATTTTTGTTGGCTCTTTGAAACAATTCATTTTTATACTTTTATTTAAAATTTGCGATGAATTGCTGTGATATGTTTTAGTGACATGGTAATTTTCATTCCATTTAGTGTTTTATGCTTTTGTATTATAATAAATACATTACATTTTTTTGCATTTTTGACTCATCGACCCGAATTTTATCAAAGGTCGTAGGAAAATTCCTTAAATTACTAGACCAGGATGCTTCCTACATAAAATATATTTTATATCTTATAAACTATGTAAACATAAAATTAGCCCTTATCTTTAGACCCTTTCGTTTTTTTCTTAACATCGTCAACAATTGTGTCTTTACCCTTGATTTTGTCGCCAATTTGCTTAATACCCTTATCCAAATCTTCAATGATGTTCTCTTTCTTGTCTTTTAGACCTTCCTTCGTCTCCCTTACGGTTTCCAACAAGTTGTCTTTCTGTTCAAAGTACATTTCTTTGAGTCTTTCTTTGCTGGGGACTGGTTTGATGTAGCCCCACTTTTTCAAATAATTTATTGAAATCGTCGTCCCTCCTAATGTGACTGTGTATCTCGCCGGCGTGGCTATTTTGTAAAGAGCGTAAGCCACAGCAACATAGCCCATACTTGAGTCTCTCAATGGATTCACAATTCTTTCACTAATGTTCCATGATTCTAAAATTCCCACAATATCCACACCACTGTAAAAAAACCGTTTAGAAATACAAGAATGGTTGCATTAAGTGGAAAACCTTTTGGCTAAATAATAAAAACCACCAAACCATGCTGCTGAAGTGACGAGATGAACTGGGACAAGGACGTACCAGTAGTCTTTATACATCTGCTTGAATCTTTGGAACAGAGAAGGTTTTTTCTTATTTTTACCCAGATCAGAATAGAACTGAATATTGGTAGTTTTGAATGGTTGGAGTAAATTTTGATTTATTCTTGGATGTAGAGTACCATTATTCTGCTTAAAATTTATGATGACAGTAGCAGTGCATCTACTGAGTGTTGTCATTTGAGCCAATTCATTAAATTTAAATAAATTCCTGGTGAAAAATCTTCGTGCTAAGACATTTGCCATGACTTGGTTTGTAAATATAACCTCAAATTTCTGCAATAGTTGTCCAGGTGCACACTTTCGCTGCTTAAATAAATCTAAAATAGATCATTTTTAATGTTTTTAGGCCCGATGAAGCCGTGTTTATGCACTCACCTACTTAAATCCACATTATTTTTGTCAGAATGCGTGCGGCGTGACGTGACCATATTCACGAAACAAACTTATTTTGGCACTTTGTAGACAAATAAAATTCCGGTTTAGAATTAGCACAAGATATTTGCCCTCTAAAATACATCGAGATCAAGATTTTTTAATTCAATTTTGAAACTAGTTTCCAGTCCTGTCGATTTTACGATCGTGATCGTACTCGCGCCTAATTTTGAATCTATTAAGGGCTGCGTGAAAAAAATCCCTAGAAAAAATGTTCCACTTTTTAAAATTTTTAATTTTTAAACAACAATTACGCCGAAACTACGAGAGTTTTCACAAAAATTCATATTTTCGTCAAAAAAGTAGTTTTCTTGTGTAATTTTGACAAGAGCGTATATTAGGGAATGACATTGACAACTAAAATTTAATACTTATCATTGTACAGTTTCGGAACTCTAAAACAACCTTTACATTAATAACCTAATTTTTTTACTCTTGTCATGTTTATGTCATTTTGATTTATTTACTTTCAAAAATAGTGATTTGTGGCATAACAACGGATAAGCGGGAATCAAAGCGATAATTTAATTACACTTAGTTCAATTAATAAATTTCCTAAGACAGACAATTTGTTTAATTAACAATTTTAACAACAAAAAAAATTTAATTGTCAAATATGTCATAGTGACAGTAAAAGGTAGTTTACAGTGAAAATTTTAAAGTTACAGAAAAATACATCAAAAACCGAAAGTGAGGTTAGTTGCCTAAAGTCCATTTTACATTTTTATGACAGTCGAATGACAAATGACCAATTTGAATAAAGCCAAATTATTTTCTTCAAAGCAAATAGTGTTTTTGGTGTTAAAACTACACCCCCAAAAGGATAAAACAGGGTGTTAAATATTTTATGGAAAAAAATTCTCTCCGAAAACTTCTGAAAATAAAATTTTAACTATCTTAACCTTAAATTATGCAATCTACACACTTGTGCACAATAATAGTACTAAAACAGGGGCGTTTTTGGCACTAAATTTGTCACTGGAATCCAGTGTAACACAGAATTCGTTTTCTTTATATAGAAAGTTTAAATTTGTGACATAATTGACTCTAAAAAATGTAAATGTAACGTTGTTTTTTTTTAAATAAAGGTTTGAAATTAAATTTAGAACTAAACATTCAAAAACGTTATTAAACAAGTAAAAAACACAAAACCCTGTAAAATAGTGCTTTGTACATACCTACAGGCAATCAAGAGCTCATAAAAAAAGATATTTTGTCACACGATGTGCACTGAATCGTTTAATTTTGTTGAAAAAAAAATTATTTGAAAAAACATTAATACTGTTAAGTATATTACAATTGTAATTATTAATATATTTTATTTATTATTAGTATATTTAAAAAAAATTGTTTGCGGTAGGCAACTTTTAATACAACAAAGAAAACATTGTCTACTTTTATTATCTTACCCCTTCCACGTCAATTCTCCTTCCATATACAGAATGAATATAAAGTATGGAACCAAGCGGTTTTATTTTTAATCATTTGCCTTCAGAAAATAATAATTAATATAAATTAAAGTAATATAAAAAATGTGATCGTATTTTCAGAACGAAATTTTGTTTTGTTTTTGAGTTACGCGATTTTTTTTGTCACAATTGCAATTTATGTGAAAAATTTTTTTTGAAAAAAATAAATATAAAGCAGATAGTTGTAATCCTTAGAGTATAGCTTTTATGAGAAAAATTATTTTATAGTGGGTTGCCATTAATTTTTTTTTTGCAGAACTCAAAAACAAAAGGAATTTCGAAAAATTTTATTCTTGTTAAATCACCACATTTTTATAGTACTTTATCACACATCAATTAGTTTTTTCAAAAAATAAATAGTTTAAGCAAAAAACGTTTGGTTCCATACTTTTTATTCACCTGGTATCTAGTTCTTTGCAAATTTAGTTCCTTAATAAGTAAAGCCTTTTTCACATTTAAAGCGCGGTTTACACAAATCATTTCAATAAAATGTGTGTTTTTGAACATTTTTTTGATTATTTCAGTATAAAAACTTCAACTTTGAAACAAAACTCAATTCCAAATTTCAAAAACTCTTTTTGGTAATGTCTTTATTGTTTTAGTGAAAATTGTTCCACATCAAGTGTTTAAAATAAACAAAAGTTTTATTGACAGTATTTTTGTTTTATTTATTTTGACGCGAATGCACAAATTACTGAACATTTAGAAGAAGGATGTTTCTGCATTATTTCCTCTTGTATTTCGTGTGCTATTCTAGTTTTGCATCGGGAAGTATTTTGCAACTTAAAGACGAAAACTTTGCTAATGAAATAAGCAATCATGAAAATGCTCTTGTGTTGTTTTATGTCCCTTGGTGTCCCCACTGTCAAAAATTCCTGCCGAAATTCTCGGAAGCTGCAGAAAAATTAAAAGACAACAGCCGTCCGATTTCTTTGGCCATGGTTGACTGTGAAAATGATGGTAAAGAGACTTGTAATAAATACGGAGTCGAGGAATTTCCCACAATGAAGATTTTCCGCAACGGCAAGTTTTCGAAGGAGTATGAGGGTCCAAGAGACCCTCCAGAATTGGTTAAATATGTGAAAGCGCAACTTGAGGCTACTTCCCTGGAACTAAACACTGTTGAGGAGCTCGAGGATTTTTTATCTAAAGGTCATGTTTCTCTCGTTGGTTTTTTCGAAAGCGATTCTTACATCAAGGTTGTTTTCTTCAAAGTTGCTGAAAAAATGAAACACCAGCTGAAATTTGGGCATTCCACTTCTGAAGCGGTTATGGAAAAGCAGGGAGTCGTTGACGGGATTGTGTTATTCCGACCGGCGTATTTGAACAATAAGTTTGAAAATAACAGTGTTGTGTACACTGGGGATGCTGAAACTGAGGACATTGTCCAGTTTATTAAAAGCAACTACCATGGATTGGTGGGACACCGAAGACATGGCTTCACGGAAGACTTTACCTTGGACCCTTCTGTGAGTGTTTTCTACTCTATTGATTATGTGAGGAATGCTAAAAGGACAAATTACTGGCGAAATAGGGTTCTACAAGTTGCAATCAAATACAAAGATCACTTCCATTTTGTTATTTCTGATAAAGACGAATTTAAAGAAGAACTCAAGGTTCATAATCTTTATCAAGCTAATATGACAAAACCTGTCGTTTTGGCAATGAATTTCAGAAAAAGGATATTCAAGTTGAAAGAACCGTTTTCTGTTGAGGCTTTTGATAACTTTCTCAGAAATATTCTTGAGGGGAAATTGGATCCAGAAGTGAAAAGCGCACCTATCCCTAAAAACAACACAGGAAATGTTACAATTGTTGTCGCTAAAAACTTTGACGAACTTATTTACAACAATAAAAAAGATATTTTTATTCTATTTACCGGTCCTGGATGTGATGAATGCATCCTAGTTGAAGGTCCCTTTGAAGAACTTGGGGGATTAATGAAAGGCGAAGATGTTGAAGTTTTCAAGTTTGATATTATGAATAATAGCATGCCACAAGAATTTCCTCTTAATGGTTTTCCTGCTATTTTTTTCCTCCGCAAGGACTCAAAAGATGATCCAATTTCTTACGACGGTGATTTTTATCCAGAAGATTTCGTTAAATTTATTGCCAAACATGCCACTAATGAACTTAAAGGATTTTACAAAGATGGGAAACCGAAAACGGTGAAGACTGAACTCTGAGCGGAAATGGACTCAATTGACATGTTTTGTATTACAATTTCTTGCAAATACAACGGCCTCAATATTTTTTTTAAACTAGTTTAGTAATTAATTTTAATTTCGTTCGAAATGAATGAATATCGGAAGAAGTAAGTATCATAGCGTCACAGAGGTGAATGGAAATCGAGGCCACAAATCACCACACTCCCAGAGTAGCATTTCACATCTATAGTGCGGTTTTGCATGTTCAGTGTGAGTGTGGAAGTGTTGTCTTCAATATGGCACTCACAAATGAAAAAGTGCAAACGTATGGCACTGAAACTACTGAAAATGAAAGGTAGGGATGAATTAACAGAACAAAGTTCTTTGATTTAAAAGCCAAAGTTTTGACTATTTCTTCACTTATTTTTAAGAGAAAGTTTGCGCAAAAATGGAAGAATGTTACCTTACAGTTAACCAAGCTGAATTCAATTTTTCTGTTTCAATTTTTACAATAAAACGTAAACAAAATTAGCTCAATAAAAAATAATGACCGGAAATTTATTCTTGTAATACTGCATTTATTGTATTATTTCTAAAACATTTTTTTTTAATTTACAAAATAATAAGACAAGCGAAAAATTAAATAAGTGTTCAGAATATTACACTCTTTTTTATCAGTTAAATTGCGTCTATTTTGTATGCATATAAATTTTATCATCGAGATTAGATGGAAACTGAAATTGGGGTTTGTTATTTTAGCAATAAATATTTTGTGATAATTAATTGGTTTATGGGTTTGCATTATCGCTAAATTCATGTGGAGTGGTTGACTGCTAATCCAGTTAATCGAGTTTATCAAAAATATTCTGAATACATTTTTGGAAACATTATTTAATTACGTACAATGACGAATCAAATAGTTTTGAGGTATACCAGGTGAGTTTCAAATATGTTTCGACTTACTTGTTTTGTAACACGTTATACAGGGTGTCAAAATTATCTCAGTGCAGCGTTGTGAGACTGACTTTATTATTAAAAAAAATGAAATATTAAATTTATTTCAAAATATGTAATATTATAAACAAGCGCTTTTTGCAGAAACTAATTACTTTCCGAAAAAATCGTTAGTTCATATTCATAAATTAATTTTTTTGTTTTTTTTTTTAGTTTTTGGGTTTTTTAAAATTTATAATTTCAATTAATGAGAACTTATTATAAAACCTTTTTTAGAAAAGCTATGATCTGAGGATTACAACACTATTATTTAATTTTTGTCAAAAATATTTCGAATAAGTTGTCATTTTGAAAAAAAAAAAACGCACAGCTCAAAAGAAAACAAAATTTTCTTCTCGAAACACAAGTAGTTATTTATTATACAAGACGTTAAAAAAATTGTTTATCTATGAGTGAAAATGTTAAGTTTACGAGTGACGTTTTCACGAGTAAATAAACAATCTTTATCGTTGTGTATAATATTTCGTTTTATTTTGTACTCACCTACCAGAATTTCTTGTACAAAATAAAGAATGTAAACAGTAGTTAAAAATTACTTTATTTCACTGGACGATAAAAGATTACTTTATCTACTGAAATTAGTTGATAAAAGTACTCTTTAACATTGAGTAAAAAATAAAACATTTTTATCGTACTTGATATTAAGTTTTACTTCTTTTTTTGGGTAAAAATTTACACAGTTTATGCCAGGGCCGTAACCAGGATTTTATTTCGGGGTGGGTTTCTTGTTAGTCCATGAAAATAAAATGAAAGAAGGCGGATTAAAAAGCAAAAATCTCTAAGTATACGTTTTTATTTTAAATTGAAATAAGAGATCCTAATTAAACATACAAAAATACAAATTAACTCACAAAAGTAACAAAAAATAAAATAATTTTTTAATACTTTTTATTGTTACAAATTTAAACAGGAGATAGAATATTCATTTTTAAAACAAAATTTTTTTATGTACATATATCGAAAAATGCTAAGCAAGGGGTGCGTCTTTTAATAGGTTTTTTTCCACATTTCCGAAATCATTTTAGAAAAAAATTTCAAAGTTTGGTACAGATGATAACTTTTATACACCTAAACAAGTACAAAAATAAAATGTTGAAATTTTTAATTAGGGGCTTCCTAAACTAGATAGGATTAGGGTAAAAATTTACTCTATTTTGCCTGTGGTTTCTTGTCACTTTCAGAAACAAAATTTCATAGTTTTTCAAAAAAAGGTTTAAAATTTTTTGTTACAGACCATACAAATTAAAAATTAAATTTGTTTTACCGCCCCTGATTAAAAATTTTGTTATTTGGCATTTGTTTAGGTGTATATATAAAAGTACCAAATTTTGTAATGTTATCTTTTCTGAAATATTAGGAAAAACCCTTTAAAAAACGTACCTTTTTTAGGAGGTGTAGCTCCCTTTCATACCATTTTTCGAAATACTTTTGTCTTAAAATTAAATATTCTATCAACTATTTAAATTTGTACCTACCAATAAAAATGAAACACTGTATAATTAACACATGAAAAATTTATTCCCAAAAATTTAAAATTAACTCACTAAAATAACAAAAAAACTAAATTTTTAACACTTATAACACTATATAACAAAGTGCTCAGGATTTCGGGGGGGTTTGAACCCCCTAATCCCCCCCTTGGGTACGGCCCTGGTTTATGCCAAAACGTTTGATTCTTGGTTGTTTACCCTGTATATTCCACGATCATTTTTGGAATGAGAAACTACAATCATATTTTTTTATATTCTTGTTTATTAACGTGTAATAGATATTTTTTTAGAAAATATTTTTTTAACCAAATTATTCAAATGTTTTTTAACAAAAAAAAGGAAAATTACTTCAATCATAATGTGGCAGTAGGTATTTTTTTTAAACATTCCAAACATTCTATATTGTTTATTTTATTTGTGTTTTTTATTGTTTTATTTTTTTTCTCTCTAAATTAGTATAGTTAGCTACCTAAATTATAAGATGGCAATTTGCTTACAAATGTCTGACAAAAATTAGCTTTTGCTAGCTGATAATAATAACAAATTTTTTTTTATCTAAATTAGTGACTAATTTTCTACTCAATTTCTAATGACTGTTTTTGAGCTTTACCTTCGCTATTTATTTCCAACGACAGTTAGTTAAAATTTAAAAAAACGTGAATAATAGTGCAAATGGCTCATAATTTTGTATATCTACTATTGGTCATTAAATTCTAATCTGGTAACTATTGTTTGCTGTCGTGGTAATTGAAACAATGTGTTATTTAATTAAATAATTTGTTTACTTGTTACACAGTGTGATTCATAGAATTTTTTATACAAAAATTTGTAGCGAAACCCACCCAGGATGGATGTTTTGGAAGAAACGAAGATACGTGGTAGCAACCCTAGCCTTCTTCGGCTTCTTCAACGTCTACGCTCTTCGAGTGAACCTAAGCATCGCTATAGTGGCAATGACCGAAAATAGAACAATCACTTTACACAATGGTACTACAATTTATGTAAGTCCAAATTTCTGTAGTAGAATTATTCAATGGTAAAAATTCTCCCAGGGGCCAGAATTTGACTGGGACTCAAAAATCCAAGGCTATATCCTCAGCTCCTTCTTCTATGGATACATCACGACCCAGTTATTTGGGGGTTGGTTATCAGCCCGAATTGGAGGGAAGCGAGTTTTTGGGGGAGGAATTGCAATCACAGCTGCTTTAACCCTCATAACCCCTTGGTTGGCCAAAATCAACGTTTATTTGCTCTTGGCGGTGCGAATAATTGAGGGGATTTTCGAAGGAGTGACTTATCCTTGTATCCATGCAGTTTGGGCTCGATGGGCGCCTCCTTTGGAGAGGACTCGTTTGGCAACTTTAGCCTTTTCGGGGAGTTATGTGGGGACTGTGGTCTCAATGCCGGTGTGTGCCTATTTAGCCAAATCTTTGGGTTGGCCGAGCATCTTTTATTTTTTTGGTACTCTTGGACTGATTTGGTTCGGGATTTGGTGGGTGGTCGTGGCCGAAACCCCAGCTGAAGACCCCAAAATTTCTAAAGCTGAGTTAAAATATATCAAAGATTCTTTGGGTCATACTGATGGTAGTAGAAGAATCACACATCCTTGGAAAGAAATCTTGTTGTCGATGCCTGTTTGGGCTATTGTTGTGTCCCATTTCAGCGAAAATTGGGGTTTTTACACTCTTTTAACCCAACTTCCGAAATTTATGAAAGAAATTCTTAATTTTGACTTGGGCAAAACTGGGTTTATGTCAGCTTTGCCCTACTTGGCAATGTCTATTATGATTCAAATTTCGGGGCATTTAGCCGATTGGTTGCAAGAAAAAGGAATTTTGAATACGACTCAAGTGAGAAAACTCTTCAATTGTGGGGCTTTCATTGCCCAGACTGTCTTCATGTTAGGGGCGGCGTTTTGGCTAACACCTGCAGGAACCATCAGTTGTTTGACTTTGGCTGTGGGGTTGGGGGGGTTTGCCTGGTCCGGTTTTAGGTATTTTTATTTTTTTTTTTTTAATACAGTAAACAGTTTTTTATTTTTAGTGTGAATTATTTAGACGTAGCTCCACAACATGCGAGTGTTTTAATGGGTTTGGGAAACACAGTGGGGACTTTACCTGGCATTTTGAGTCCTATTATATCAGGATATGTCGTGACGACTCCTGTGAGTACTTTTTGCAAAACTAGAAGTTTGATTTTGATGAGGAAAAATTATTTTAGACTGCCCAAGAATGGCAAATTATTTTTTATATAGCCAGTGGTATTTATTTGTTTGGGTGTGTGTTTTATGGTGTTTTTGCGTCCGGGGAAGTCCAGACGTGGGCGATTGAGAAAGAAGAAGTCAAAGACACGCCGATGAAGGAACGGGTGACGAAGGGTCATGATAATAAATCTTTTGAACCAGATTTTTAATTAGTGCAATTTTTTAGTAAATAATGTGATATTTTAGAGTAGGTTTTTGTAGAAAATACTCTTTTAAATAGCTAATGTAACATAAACGTAGAATTAAGAAACCTGCACTTGCCTATAGTAAAATTAATAAATTAATTAAAATAATTAGCGGCTTTTTTATTAATTTTTGGACAAAAAACAAAAAATTACAATGGAGTAAGATTATTTTGAAAACTAGAGTAAATCTCATTCTCTCAAATACAACTCTTAAAAAATTAACAATAATCAAAATTTTTATAACAAAATTTTTACTAAATAAATAAGAGTAATGGAAACATTTAATCAAAGATTGTTCATTAACGCTTAATTTTTTCTTTAATTTAGTTCTGGAAAATATTGTGCGAACTACAAAGTTGAGTCAATTTTTTTATTAAATAAAAATTATGTACATAAAACACAATAAATAAAGTTGGTCCCTTATATGGTATCAGTACAAAAGAAACACAGATAATGTTTTTACAAAAATTGTTATGTAATGGGATTAATTCAGACACTCATTAAAAATAAACTAAAATTTTAATTTATTTGTTACACATTTGCAAAATCTGTCTGAATTAATCGAAACTCATTAAACACACACAAAATTCGTTACACTGGACATCAATATGATGTCATTGTCTGTCGCAAAATGCACCTTGCTTGGAATAATTAACCAAATTTTAAAATCTTTGGTTTCGTTTCTTCTTGGTAAAATGGCTGACAAACTGGTAATCACAGTCGTAGATATCCGGTATTTCCATTTGTACAAACTCATTAAAAATCATCCTAACAGTATTGTCCCCAAAAATGTCTTTTTCATATTCAATTAGTTGTTTGAAAAATCCGCAGTTTGGCTTAATTTTTGGCCTCCTTAACTTGACATAGTTGTAGGCTTCCAAAAGTGTCAAGCCTTGGTGTTTCATAAGGTAGGCCAAACAGACACTAGCCGATCTGCTGACGCCGGCAACACAATAAATCAAAGTTTTTCCCCCAGAATTGGCCACCTGAAAAAAAAAAATAAAAAACTGAGTCGAGATCTAAAATAAATTCTTGTTTCTAGTAAACTTTGACAAGCAACAAGTCCTCTTAAAATACACAATTTGTAACTTAGTCATTTTAGCGAAGATTAATTATTCGTCGAGGAACATTGCCAGTTAGCTATTAAATTATCACTTTTCGAAAATCGAAATTTTTAATATCAATTTTGCTGGCGCGGAATGCGGGCTGAGTTTTTTTGGAAATTCCTTTGAGGTTCAAAAATAGAAAATGGACGATATGAATCACGTTAGGTGTGCTTATGAACTATTTTTAATGCTGCAGCGACACTCAAATCATGTGATGCTTAAAAGTTGCACACATCGAAATATGCATTTAAAAATAATAATTATGAAGTTAACGAGTTGGCACGCGTTTTGTTGCTATTTGAAATGTTTATTACATTATTTTTGTTGCTTTTCATTTTTTACACAATTAATTAATTGAAGGGGTGAGTGGATAAAGGTGTCAAATTTAATTTGCTGGTACTTTTTTCCAATTTATTTTTGGTAAACAAAATCACATGATATATAAAAAACTTAGGTAATTATGTTTTTTTATAGATTTTTTAACGATCAAATGTACATGACCCCTTCATCCACTATAATAATACATTAGTTTATATTATTAAAAAAATGATAAAAATGTTATGTACCAAAAAACAAGCTTTATTTTCTAACATAAACTTTGTGATAACTATTGCTTTATAAAAATATTTCAAGTTTAACAAAACATTTATAAATGACACAATATGAAAAAGTCCACTTTATGCTGTCCCGAAAATTAACATTCTCTTTTAAAAGATTTTTTTTTCTTGTGGGTGTAATTTTGAAGCTAGTTCATTGACTTTTCGAAAACGGTTTTCCATATTATCACCATATTTTTCAAAAAGAGAGGGAATTATCTCGAAATATTTAGACAAAAATATACCGAAAAGTCACCAAATTAAGTGAAAAATAATGAATTTTGCTTGTTTACATCACGTTTTTCTGTAAGATTCTGTTAAAACATATTGAAAAATTACCAAATTAGGTTGAAAATGACCTTTTTATGATTTTTTGGGCGTTTTAGCATGTTTTTCAATTAAAAATTTACAAAATTATTTCGTCACAAATCGTTAAATTTACTCAAAAATGGTGTTATTTTTACTTTTTTAGATTGAGCGAAAAATTTTGTTCAAAAATAATACCATTTTTCCCTTTTTAGGACGTTTTTTAGTCAGAATCGCAATTGTTTTGAAAATTTTCGTCAAAAAGCAGATAAAAAATGAATAAACTATCACGAAACTAAAATTATTTTTGCTTCTTTGGAAAGTTTAAGCATGTTTTTGAGTCGAAAAATTATTTGGTTGCTTTTCCAAACGTTTTAGCAGATTTTTCAATCAAAAGCACAAAACTTGGTTAAAAATAAGCCGAAAAATCACATAATTAATTCGAAAATGATGTCATTTTTGCTTTTTTCAAATATTTAGTTGCGTCTTTAAGTCTAAAAGAAAGTATTTTTCTTTAATTTTTGCTAAAAAACAAACCAAAAAATCAATACATATACCAGACTAAATAAAAAGCGACATAATTTTTGCTCTTTTCGAGCGTTTTAAAACATTTTTCAATAAAAAACTCAATTATTTCGCAAAATTTTCTCAAGAATACGTTGGAAAGTAATTGAATTAAATAAAAATAGTGTTATTTGTGNGTGCTTTTTTTTTAAACATTTATTTATTATTATTTATTTATTTAAACATATTTTAACACCTTTATCCACTGTTTATTCAACAATCCAAGTTGTACATAATATGGTAATAGAAACCAACACTTAAGAGTCTATTTTAATAAAAGAATATTGCGAAAAAAAATATTTTTAAAGAAAATACCAGTTTTCAAAAAAATGTTACATCCACTCACCCCTTCAATTGTTACTTGATTCTCAATTTAAGTTTGCAACACTGAATAAAACAAAGGGAAGGTGAAATTTGACAGAATGCACATCTTCTGACTGTATTTTTGTCAATGTTGCCAACTTAATTTCAACAAAAAAACTTATTTTTTCGATCAAAATGGTAATTAAAACCAGATGTATTCATGAGGATAAACAATAATAAAAGTAAAAATTTGTCCTCGAACCTATTCTTGGAAGATTAATGTATGATGATCTAAGATTGTTTTATTTCACTACTTTATTTTTTAAAAGTTTTCCAATGAAAAAAACTGATTTTTTAATTATTAGAGTCTGAAAAATGTGACTCGATTTAAGCCAATTAACATTCTTGGAACGATCTCATTGTGAAACCACAATGAATACCAGCATAGGTTTTTGGCCTCAAACTATAAATAAACACGTCATTGATTTGTAACATTTTTGAAACTGAAAATGTGATAAGAAAGCCACTCACTTGGTGTATCAAGTCGGCCGCTTCGTCAAAATACGCGTAAATCCTGGAATTCCCCGAATCCAAAACGGGAATCTTGTGATAAACGATGTCGCTTCTGTGCAGTGGCGCGTCTGGCAATTCTGGCGCTACGTTAATCACACAAGTGATATTAAGTGCATCAAGGACATTAGTGTTGACAGATGAAGCAGAAGTCAGGATTAAATGGTCGGTCAATTGCGAAATGGCACCGGGAAGTAACATCATCATCGACTGCGATCTTGAACTGCAAACAAATTAAACATTCTTATGAAATATTTCAGTTTTCAGCACCACCGTCGCTGTGTTTGTTTATTTCTGCACTTAGTAGAGATTTACAGGATAATTTAATGAAACCGACGATTCATCAACATTATAAAGTCGGAGTAATTTAAATGTTGGCAAGGTTTCTAGGGCAAATTATTCGCATGCCTTTAGAGGAATTTTGGCTTTTTTCTTCAGGCTACAAGCTTTTTTTCAAATAGGGGCTTTTCAGCGATTTTTTCCTGAAAATATTATCTTGTAAATAAATTACTATTTAAGAAAAAATAGAAAAAAATCTGAAACAGGATGCATAAAAAAATTTAAATTAAGAGTTTTAATAGAAAAATTCTGACTGTTTGAAATATTATTTCTTATTTCTGCAATCACAATTTTTATAAAAAAAAATAACTTAAAACGTCACTCAAGACTTAATTTTACAATTTTCTCCATTGTTTTAACAAAATCTTTTAAAATGTGTGACTTTCTTAATAAAAAACATTAAATCCATCAAAGTTAGTCAAAATTATTCATGTTCGATTTAATTTGGGAAAATTTCTGCTTTGCTTTCACAAAATCTTGTCAAAAATAATGCATTTTAAACTTAATTTGATAGAAAATATACCTATTTAGACCTAATTTTGCGATTTTCTGCTTTCGAATTTAGTAAGTTTCTTTTAAATGAAAACGCCTTAAAAATTTATCAAGAGATGCGAAAATAACGCATTTAATTTTTTTTTTTTTCTTAAAATCTTTCAAGTCTAGTTTAATTTTACTCAACAATTTTCAAAGGTAAGTATAGAAAATCTCTAAAATTTTGTAAGTTTTTTGCTGAAAGGTTATCAAAATTTATCAAAATATGAAAGATAATGATAAAAGAGAATGCATTTCAGATTTAATTTCATAGATAATAACATATTTTAGACCTAATTTAGCGATTTTTAGTAAAATA